GGGGGGGGGGGGAAAGAGAGGGACAAACAAGGTGCAAGGTGCAAAAGGTGCAAGGTGTCGCTGTGGTCCGTGAAAAGTCAATGGTCAGAGGTCAAAAGGACAGAGAGGATTTAGAGGGCCAGAGGATGCGTGTTGCGTAAGAGAAGTCGGTTTCCGTATTGGTGCACCGTGCTTCAGCATTCAGCAGCTGCTGCCTGGCTTTTGTCTCTTTTCAGACCGCAACGTGGCAGTATCTCGTGGCAGTCGTGAAAACCAAAAAAGTGGTGAAGGGCCGTATCGACGGATGCTAGGGAGAGAAAAGCAGCTGTCTGCTGCTCCTTGTCGTCAGTTGATGTTCTTAATCGAACTTCTCAATCTCCAAACAGGGGGTCACGATTGAAAGGGTTAATGTCCGCCGGGTGCTGCAGCAGCGGGGTTCCCGGCTCATAGGTATCATTTTCTCTCATTTTAGACACTGTGTACAGGAAATGTAAGCGACCTTGACAACCTTCACTAACGCTGCTTTTTTTTTTCCCGTCCACACACTGTCAAAAGCGTTATTGTGTGCTATTTTGAGCATCTTATCGTATCAGTGATCCTGGCTTAAGTTCCATAGAGGTTTCGATATGTTCCAGGCCATCTTCGAGATCCAGGCGATTGGATGCTGCCGGCCAAATAAAGCCAGATAGATCTTTATCAGTACAATATATGTGGATTTTAGCATGCCGTCGCCGCGGCGGCGTTTGAAATTCAGGTAGTCCTCCGTACCGCTCTAACCATATACATACTGTGCCAATCAACCACTTTAATCCAGGGGCTTCTCAGGGGAAGATGGCCTTTGTCATCAACTTCGAATCAAGCAGCTGGCTGGCTGGCAGCGAGTCTGTCCTTTGCAATCGAGTGCCAACAAGAGGACTGCGTTTGCTGGCCATGAGTTCTCGCCACGGAGCACAGAACTACGTAAAACCACATCGTATCAATCGGCCACCAGTGGGCTGCATGCACTTGCACAATCCGCACCAGCAGCAAGCCGCCTGCTCCTGACGGGCCACTGTGCGCCAATCGCCGTTGCACAAAATAAGAGGGACGAAGCAGCAGGCCAAGCAATGGGATGTTTCTGAAACGAAACAGTGCAAGGATCGGCCGGCTGCCAAGACCTGGAGACGGCTAGCCGATCCAGCCAAGACTCAGAATAGAGGCAGCCACCTGCAAGGTACTACCGCCAACTGGTTCCTGCCGGCCCGCCGATCTGGGCCAGCCATCGATGTCGGGGGTCTCTTCGGCCTGTCTTTTGCATCTTGAAAAAAAAGCCTTGGGGATGTCTTCCAGAAGCTGTCGCGACCCCTCATATCGACCGCCCTCTTAGGCAGACGCCAAACAGCAGCCGAATCTGCGGCCGCTGCTACATTCATGATGCGAATGACAGCAAGATCACTAGAATGCCAACACGACATGGGTCAGGACGATCGAGGTAAAAATACAAGATGCATGCGAAATTGGCCCATTAGACCCTCGTTCCGTTCATTTTCGTACCCGGCTGCTCCGTTGCCATGCGGCTGAGAAGCATTATGTCGCATGTCCAAGCAGCTGGCACCTTTATGATCCTTTTTTTTTTTCACTGTCTGCGGAGGGAGAATTGCATGTCAAATATGCCTCTCAAGCCCAGGATTCGGGCAAAGAGAATGCTGGAAATAGTTGAACTTTGCCGTCAAGCGTCAACGGTCCAGCCGCTTCATTATCTCACTCGCTCTTTAGGTAGATAGATGTCTTGCGCTCTATCTGGCACGCCCTGGTAACCTTCCTGCCCGAACGACCCATCAAACCCATTGTATCCTGAGAAACCAGAGTCGAACCTTCAAAACCAAGAAGCCTCTTCAATCAAGAATGTTCAGTGCACGTACCACCCTTCCGATCCAATCTCCGCCTCCATCTTCCTCTTGATTCTTGCTATCCGTTCCTCGCGTGTTGGTGCCCAGATGTTCGGCCTGCCGGTCAAATATCCCCAGGTGCTGTACGCTTCAGCCGGCCAAGGATTATCGGATGGCTGAAGTGGCTCAATCTCCCAGGCTACCGTTTCCGTTGTTTCCTTTTTCTCTTCTTTTTCTTTTTCTTTTTCTTCTTTTTCTTCTTCTTCTTCTTCTTCTTCTTCTTCTTCTGCTTCTGCTTCTTCCGGATCTTTCTCCCACAAGTGCTTCCACTCCTTCCTTGGGGCAGGCGGTGGTCTGGGGAAATAGACCCGGTAGAGAAGTCCTCCTGGAAACGCCGGCGCAAGTGTAGGATGGAGTTGGTCTTGAGGTCCCTTCCTGCTGAGTATCATCTTCCACGTCTTGATCCAGTCTTCGTCGCCAGCAAACTGGCCCCGATGCCCCCCCGAATTCCCATTGAAGCAGTTAAGCATCGGCCAGTTATGCCACGGGATAGGGAGAGGCAGAGGTCTGGGGTTAAAAGTGTCAGTGTCCTTGCTTTGTGAGATTGGGTCCGTCCCATTGGAAGCGTCTTGGGAGTTATGATACCGGAGGCTGATGGGAATTGGCCAACGATCCCACCTGGTTGGCCATCGCACCGACCATGGGGCTTGCCACGGGGTGGTGTTGCTTGATAGTATCGCTGGCTTCACAAGTCCCATTGAGGAGGTAGCGTCGCCATGCGTTTGCGTGGCGTCATTGGCTGCGGGAGCGTCCAACTCTTCGTCCTTGGAGGTAAAGTTGGTAGGGACAGCGGAAAGAGATCTAAGCAAGTCCGAAGGGGATGATGAACTATGTGGTTTAAATCGAGGGGAATAAGATGTCCTTAGGGATGCGGTTTGGTTGTTTGAAGTCTCAATCGTGCCGAGGGTGGGATTAGTGCCATTTGAACCAGCACCTGATGCTTCTGGAGCTCCTTCCTCCTTGTTTTCAACAGCCCTGGGATGATTAACATCAGTCCCAGTGCTAGAGGAAGGAACAGGATCACAAGCAGCTATCGTTGAGGACTTCAGAATGGAGGGGGCTGCAGCACTTGTTGTCATTGCCTCCGACGCTGTTTGGGCTCTAGCGCTGGCTGCACCCGGCAAGACAAAAGTTAATGTCTTGCCAGCTTTTTTTGTGTCTGTCGCATCCTGTTTATTATTGCTGTTATTGTTTGCAACGCTTGTTGCAGATTGAGCAGCGGACCGAACGACATCTGCCCAGCTGTCCTTCTGGGCTGGCCTTGGCCAAACGGAAGATGAAGTAGGTTTAGAGAACAAAGCACTCCATAGCTTTGGCTGTGCTTTGCTTGAAGGGGGGTTTGAAGCGCCAGAAACTGGCAAAGCAGAGGAAGAAGAAAAAGGGAGGACTGGCCAGTCCTTGGAACTTGTCAGGTTGGGTGGTGGTTGCGAAAAGGCCGTAGATTTGGGAGTATTGAAATCCTCGGCCTCCATCACTCTCTCATGTGCAGCTCTAATCCTGGCTGCCGGAGTCTCTTGGGTTAATGGGCTCGATGGGCGTGGGCCAATGGCCCCAGCAACCGGCGCAGAAACCTCTGTCTGGGATGGCATGCGGCGAGTTACGCTGAGCGTACTGATTACCGGCCATTGTCGCAAGCCCTCCTGAGCTGAAGAGGAACAAGGACAAGTACTTACCTGTGCCATTTGGGTCGCCATCTCCGCACCCTCAGCTGGCGAAGTGCGCTGTTGGCCTCGGGCACAGGCAGCGTTCACATTCAGCAAATTCCTCTCACAGCCCACCGTTGAAGCGGGCACCAACTGGTGGCTCTTGTACTTGGCTGTACCGGTCCGCGCGCCAACTGATCGCAGGCCTCGCACACACAGAGGCCACATCGGCACCCGCAGCGGGTTTGGCTGCTTCAGGGGTGCTCCGCCCACTGCGGCAGCCGGCAGCGCCGGCGAACTGTGGGCACTTGGACGGGCAGTGGGCTTCACCTGCTCAGAAAGGGAACTGGCAGCCTTCAACGGGTTTGCATTGAGGTCCTCAAGGGTCGAAGTCGACTGCCGAGCTGGCCAGACAGGCTTCAGCGCCAGCACAGGTCCTGATGCTGTCCGCAGCTGAGCATCCTTCACTAAGGGCAAAGCCGGCGAGTTGGCAGTGCAGAATAGAGGGCTCGGCGGGCGTGATAGGACAGTCTTGGGGAATTTTGAGGGCGAAAAGCCGGGAGCGGGAGAAGAACCACTGGCCAACAGGGCACCTCGATGGGTTTCTCGGAACTTGTAGGCCCCTGTTCCCACCACAGGTGCTGTCGTAGTTGGGGGCGCCGACTGTGCGCTTGATGTGATGCCGGGAACCGGAGGAATCTCTGGACAGCTATCGCTCCTTTGTTGGCCCAGGTTCTCTCCTGCTTTATCTCCTGTGTGCGGGGCAGCGCCAGACACGGCATCGTCCGCGGACAGCGCGGGAGGAGTTTGTGGATTTGGAACTGTTATTGCGTCCCAGGAGCTAGACCTGGCAGGTCTTGGTGAATTACGATTAGGAGTGTCTTTGTGATGGGGATGAATAGACGCAAGAAAGGCACGAGAATGACGAGACCGGTTGTTAACATGAGATCTTCTTGGATATGGTGTGCGGCGTCTGTATCTTCCCCTTGTGCCACACCTGTATTCTCCCCTGCTACTGGTCAACCCGGGTTTGAACCTCGGAGAAGAAGAGAAGGCTGTAAAGGGTCTGTTGTTGTTCCATGTCCAAGAGCTCTCAGCCGGTAACCCATATGAGGACCAAGAGGTCCAACAATCAGTCGGCCATGAGAACTCTCCGCTTCCAGCAAGCCGTAAAGGAGTGAACCATCCTGTGCTGGGAAATCTTATGCCAAGTCCAGGAAGAGACAGCACTGAAGCTCCTGTGCTCCGGCTGTTGGAAAGGGACAATGATCTCTTACCCAACGAAGACCATTCGTTGAGACGGTCAGCCTCAAGTGAAGTCAGTTTTGGCCATGGCTTCTCAGCCTTGGGGACATTCTCGCTTTTTGTTTGGAACATCATTGGTGATGGGAGATGGAATCCAATCACTTCTGCTGTTTGCAGAATATCAAATGTGTTCTCATTGGGACTAGGAGGATTGTCGATATCTTGGCCTTGACTGGTGAGAGCGGCTGCTGCTTCGTCAAAAATGTGCCTAAGCAAGGCATCATCATCGTTGTCGCTAACAAACTGTCAGATGTCGCTTCACTGACATTGCAAATATGAATAACTTACCCTTCAACCATCTTTTCTCGCTCGTGCGGATTCTCATGGTAAATTGGTACATTTATCACCTCGACACTTCCATAACGATTGACCGCTGGGATGAGTTTCCAATGAGCATTCTTAAGAGCACGTGCTTCCCCCTCCATCCGGTTGACTTTCCAATAGATTGATTCCGCCCGTTCTTCTGACATATACAATTTCAGACGGGTATACTCTTCCACTGTCTGTGGAAAGAACGGTGATTGGGTGAGGCCCAAGACCTCTGCCTGTAGTCGTAGTCGGGCATACTCTCCTCGGATGTTGAAGGTTATTTCGACCGGGTCATCTTCCTTTTCATCATGAGTGTTTTCATGCTCTCCCGATGCCTTTTGACTTCCCTTCGAGTTGATTGGGATGATAGGACTCTTGTGTTTGCCAAAATCATCCATTGCATAAACTCAGCAGTCAGTATTGATGCTAGCATAAAAGTTGAACAATTGAAGCTAATATATCTCAGTTGAATCTTGTCATTTTGAGGGATGTTCTTCAGTAGGACTCTTACCGGATCATGAGAGGAATTGTTGGTGATGTCTTTATTATCAGGAGTGCTGACCAATTTAGCATTGCTTTGACTGCTGGATCTTGCCTCTTTATTTGCAGAATGATTGGCGTCTTGGCCAGGTAAAGGACTGACCGGCCTTGAGAGCTGGGAAAGGTTACTTTGAGAAGACACTTGTCTGCCTTGTTGAACGTGGCTTTAGAGGCCCTAAAAGCGGGTTGATGGTTGGTTGCTGGTAGAGGATGCCTTCTTTCCCTCCTTTAGAACACTCTCGTAGATAAGGATGCCATCCATGAGCAGCAGAATCTATAAAAGTGGGAGTCAGGAGTCAAGCTGGCTTATATATGGGTGAATTCTGGCTTGAAGACTATATTGGACCGTGGTCTCATTTCACCACTTACATAAATGGCGGCTGACTCGCAGAACTCGGAGTTTATTCATTCAAGACTGTCGTGTATTGACTCCCATTTAGCTGGCAGTTCGCTGTTCATTGTTCAAAATGAAATTGTGTTACCATGGAGCTCAAGAGTTCACGGTGAGTGCATAGGATTATGGCCTAGTTGTTGATGTTCTCTTAAGTATCCCTGGGTCTTGTGGTGTGAAAGGAAGAAAAAAAAGGACAGAGATGCGTTGCGAAGTTGGCTTCATGAGCTGTCAAGACAACTCATTGAAATGTCTCATGACGTCCATGGTGATGTGCTGTTGTATCGCTACCCAAGCTTGACACATGGGAGAGAATGACAGGTAACATACCCATGAAAAGAGAAACAGATTCTGTCCTACATCTGCTTTACAATTGAAATAAAAGCCAAGAATCTAGCCTCATGGTAGTCATTGACAACAGCTAGGCTAACAGTTGACTGGTTCCGCTCCCATCCTCCAGGGTTGTCAAATGTAGTGAACACTCTTCGACAACACGGCTCTTTGAGCAATAAATAAACGCAGCACAACCTGTACCACACTTTTCTCAGGTACCACTAAGTGAACAGAAACATGGAGTCATCAATTCATGTCCGAGATCATTATAACTCGAAGTTCCATTGCGCCCTTGTATCCATGTCAGCCTCAACATCGCCAATGGAGTCAACATGAACATGACCTTTGATCCCTAAGTACTCCTAAGCCCGACAGCAAAAAGACAAAAGAAAAGCCAGCCACCAAGACCAATTGAATAACCCTTTGCATATCCTCTACTTTCCCTGCTCAGTGATACCAATTGGTTGAGCAGCCCCCCTCAAGCCAACAAGATCTGATGCAGTGCTCTCGATGCTACGGCTGCGCCGTAACTTGCCCAGCAGTCCACCATGTCCGAAGTGCTGTGAATATGCGTGTGCCTTTGTCTGCTTCTCTCTCTGCTTCTCAAAATCCCTCTGCATCTGTCGTTGAATGGCAGTCTGCGGCGGCGTTGTCTTTGGTGTGTTGAAACAGGTTGCGCAGGGACAGACGGAGGAGTGGACCATGGCGACTGATGTAAGTGAGAGGCAAGGACTTGGTGCTGGTTGATGGATGAACTTGGTATTGATGATTGAGGTGCGTAGATGAGTTTTTGTTTTTGTGTTGAGTTGCAATTGTTTCAACGAGATGATGATGAGTGGATGAAGTGGTGATTTGTTGTCTAAGTCCGCAGTGTGATAGTGACGGCTGACTTGTGTCGTACAAAGACGGGTGGAAACTGCCAGGACAGCGAACAAGATATGTGATGGGCTTCTTGAAACAAGAGGGAAACAGAACCCAAGATCACCGGCAAAAACGTGCGGGACAAAGCACTGCCATAAGTACTTTTGACCGCTCGAGCCCTATGAACCCAAGCCAGTGGTACTTATGCAACAACCTGCCCACCAGATGCCAGCGCTGTTCCTTTGAACCACAACCCTAACTGTGCCTTTTTGACTTTCGATCCCGTCGACCGAACGAATGAACCATCTCACGGCGCCACACCTAATCTGGACGACCACACTTCGAATGTGAGGCCACCCAGATGTCACCTCTCTTTTACACGCTGCAACGTAAGAGTAAAGCTAGCTCGGTACTTGGTAGGAAAAGCCTCACTTACACCATCCACCGAAAACACGTGGGATTTTATCCTCATCTGTTTTAGTACATACAGATCGACACGTGCCACTCCCATCTCCGATTGATGAGTTACAGAAAGGGGGAACATATGATATCGATATCCAGCACCAGCACCCAAGCATCAGATCTCCCCCGCAAAGCCAAGGATACTAAAACTAACAACTCCCATATCAACCCTATCTTTTACGACTCCTCCTGACCTGCTATCATGGCTCGAGATATCGTACTTGATAGTAAAAGAAAAAGACAGGAGAACAAACACACACACACACACACACAGACAAAAAAAAAACTGAAACAAACATTTCTAACCATAGGTATGTTGTCTACCTACCTACTTGTACCTACCCTCATCAGACCACGCTCATCCCCCCATGCAATATCCCAAAACCCCTGCCCAGAAGCATAGCGTATGCACTCCGGATGAAGGGGATCATGATGATGGGACGTCATCGACACCCAAGACTGAAAGTCTGATGAATCCATAGCAAGCAAATCCTTCTGGGTCCGCGGGGGGGAATCCTCCCCCGCATTTTAGTTCGCCGGAAGCACATATCCGGGGTAAGGTTCTAGAAATGGACTAAGGTAAGATCCTTGATTTGATGCCAGTGTGGTATGATCTGGAGCAGCACAAGAAACATGATTAGAATTTGTGTGTGACTATGTGTCTTTGTGCAGACTTATAAGCGTGCAGATCGCTACTTGATTTTGCTCATCGAGACGCAGATGGGATTGTGGATGGTAATCTGAAGAGAAAGTAACAAGAAAAAGTGGCATAGGTTGGACAAATACGGGCCAAAAAAAAAAAAAACCTACTCAAACTGACTTGTACTAACAACGAGGAAAGAAAGCTCAGAAACCCTGGTCTACATCATCCTCTTGGGAAACAATGCCTTTGTCTAACACAACCAGCGCCACACCGAAACTCTGCAGTCTACACAGCAATATCATTCCCTCTCATCAACCCGGATTACCTGAACAACACATCCATCCGCATTAGCTCTCTGCAAGGATGCATGCACCGCATACCACAGCAAAAATGACCATTAAAGAACATTACGCTTTATACACACCACAGCAACCAGCATGAGTAGGCTTCTATAAACCAAGAGCCCAATACAGTCCACGCAAGCATCATCAACCCTCAACCCTCGCCCCAACCGTCTATCATGTAGCTAATAAAAAGAGATAAGAAACCGCCTCTAAGCTACCCCCATAAAAAGAGGTAGCTGTCTACTCCAAACTAGGGGTGAGATTGTCTAGATGCTAAGAGTGAACTCAACACCAACATCAATGGCACGGGCTGTAACAAACAAGCAAACAGCAAAAAGTTAGTAATGCATTCCGCAAACAAAAGTCAAAGGGGAAAAAAAGAAGAAGAGAAAAGAAAATTATCCCGCAGGAAAGCACGCACCCATCTTGACGACCTGGCTCAGCTGCACCGCCTTCTCAGCAGCAGTCTGGAGATCATCAATCGAGAAAATCTTGAGGCCCGAGTCGTTAATGAGCTGGTGGGCCTGCTCCATGTTGGTGCCCTGCAGACGGGCAATGATGGGGACCTTGAGGTTGAGCGACTGGACGACAGTGATCAGACCTTGGGCGATGGCATCGCAGCGCACAATACCGCCGAAGATGTTGACAAAAATGGCCGTGACCTTGGGATCGGAGGTGATCAGCTCGAAGGCCTCCTTGATGGCGGCCGGGGTAGCACCACCGCCGACGTCAAGGAAGTTAGCCGGCTGGCCGCCATTCAGCTTGATAATATCCATGGTGGCCATGGCCAGACCGGCACCGTTGACCAAGCAGCCGATGTCACCGTCGAGCTTGATGAAGTTCAGGCCGGCCTCCGCGGCGCGAACCTCCTCGGGATCCTCCTGGGTGGTGTCGCGCCAGCTGAAGATCTCTTTTTGGCGGAACTCGGCATTGTCGTCGAAGCCGAACTTGGCGTCCATGCACATGACCTTGTGGTCCGAGGTCTCACACAGAGGGTTGATCTCGATCTGGGTGGCATCCTTCTCGAGGAAGATCTGGTAGAGCTTCTGGATGGTGTTCTTGGCGTCCTCGATGCACTGCTCGCTGAAGCCAAGCTTAGTGGCGATGTTGCGGGCGATCTCGTCGGTGACGCCAACGTTGATGTCAATGTGAGTGGTGACGATAGCCTCAGGGTTCTCCTTCGCAACGGCCTCGATGTCCATGCCACCCTGGGACGACGAGACGATGACGGGGCCCTGCGAGGCGCGGTCCATCAGGACGGCCAGGTAGAACTCACGGCGGGCGAACTTGCGCTCGCAGATGTAAACGGCATTGCAGAGACGGCCGGCGGCGCCCGTCTGCTTGGTGATGAGCTTGTGGCCGATCATCTGCTCGGCAAACATCTTCGCCTCGGTAGGCGAGTAGATGACACGCACACCGCCCTTCAGGCCGTTGTCGAAGCTGCCCTTGCCACGGCCGCCAGCCAGCACCTGGGCCTTGATCACCATGTCTTCTGTGCCGATCTCCTTGGCCACCTGCTCGGCCTCGGCAGCGTTGTGGGCGACGGCGCCCTTGGGGACGGGGATGCCATACTGGCGGTGGCGGGGTCAGCGAGCGGTCTCCCCCACAACTTGACTCACAACGTAGCCTATTATTTTGGAGTTCTTTCTTACCTGACGCAACAGGTCGTGCGAGCGGTATTCGTGGATGCTCAAGTTTCGCCGTTGTTGGGCGAAGCTGGGGGTTCTGACGGCGGGCGAGAAAGAGGTCTGCAGTGTCGGGTAGCGTTGGCGGTGCGCGAGTCTCGAGTCAGCCAGCAGCACAACAGCAGGGCGACACCATGTCAAAGCAAGCTGTCAAAAAAGCGAAGCGAAAGTACAGAAGTGGGTAATGGGCAAAGGTAGAGCGAACCTTGGGGGCGGCAAGGGCCGAAGCCAATGCACGACTGCTGCGACCGAGCCTGAACATGGTGACTGGAAAGGTTGTGGGTGTGCAAATGCAAAACAGAGAGCAGAATGGCGCCGGGAAGGATTTTGAGGGAGGAGGAGCTTTTGTGACGCCGTTTCCGTGATTCAGGTTGGATTGAAGAGATTACGTGCAGGTCCCAAATCCCCCCCCCCCCCAAGGTTGTGTTGGGCCTCCGCCTGTAGCCCCTTGCCAGGCTGGACCGGGTGCCCCAGTGGTCGCGAGTGGTGCTCCAGCAGCGGGCTAGCTTCTTTTGGCCATAATGTCTTGGATCCCAGGCCTTGGGCCGCCTTAGGCCCCAGTGGGTTGTGGCGGTTGCGCCGCTGACAGCCGCTGCAAACCCTGCCAGAGCCCACCGAGAGCTCCTGCGGCAAACGAGCTGCTGAGCTGGAGCTGCCAAACGGCACCCCTCCGAGCCAATCAGAGATGTTTCCGAGCCGGATTTTATCTCCCTCCAATCGCCATCGGCACTTACTATCGGTCACAAAATCTCAGCACGCATCAAGTCACAATCGAGATTACCATCGTTTTGTGCACTTCTCGTGTGCGAGTCGAGATCGACCAATATGATCTAGCACGGGGAAAACTTTGAGCCTCGGTCTGTAGTAATGATAAACGTTGATGGGTTTTGTGGATTACAAAGTAGGGAGTGGCCCGTTACTCCTACCACCTGAGCATCCCGTATCCTGCAAACTGTTTGGCGGTGATACGGTGGGGCTCTTCTCGATGACCCCGCGGTGGACGACAACAAGCCGAGGCACCGATATCCGATCGTTTGATGTTTGATACCCTCTTTCCTATGATACAAGATGGATGCAAACATAGGATGTTTTACAGCTACCTGATACGGTTTATGGGTGATGTTCGAATATTTGACACCAGGTAAAGACCACACTCATCAGGAACCGTGGAAAGACTTTAGACGCTTCAAAACTGCCGTATTTGTGCCTTAGGTTTTCCGGCTTTGGTTATGATTCAGGCTCCATTATCCCACATGCTCCGATCAGCAAGCTGTGGTGACTATGTGCTGGATGAGTCGCAGCAACATAACTATCGTGTTGTAGGACACAAAGTGGGAGCTTAGCTTTCACTCTCACTTTCGCTCCCTGCTTTCTCGGCACCTCCTTTCTCCCCGGCTCTTTGCTCTCCAGAAGTTTCATTCTTCTTTTTCTTCTTTTTCTTGTTCTTCTTCTTCTTCGTCTTTTTCCCCTCACCGTTGGTCTGCCCCTCACCTTGCCCCGGGGCTCGAGTCTCTGCTTCATCCGTCACAATATCCCCATCAACTTGCTTCTCCCCTTGCCGTTCAGCCCCTTTCCCTGGCTCCTCAGCCGCCTTGGATTCCTCAACCTTGCCCTGGCTCTCACCATCCGTCTTCTCTTCACTCTTCTTCCCTTGATTCTCCCTCCCCCTTCCCCTCCCCATCAAAACCCCCAACTCCTCAGCAACCCTAACCTTCTTCCGTCCCCTTACCAGCGCCCCCTTCCCCACGCTCTCCTCATCATCCTCACTCTCCTCATCCCCAGGCCTCTTCACTCCCACCGCGGCAGTTGGCCCCTTCCTCGCCGCTTCCCTTTCTCTCTTCTCCAACTCCCTTGCTTGTTTCTTTCCCAGTACCTTCCTCCTCAATTCAGCCTTCGTCTTTTCCGCTGCCGAGAGCGCCCCATTCTTCGGTGGCGGTGCATACCCCAGGCCCTTGTTGGGATCCAAGTCGGGGTCATTGTCGGTATCGATGTTGGGCATTGGTGTAGCGGCGCTGCTGCTGCTATTGTTGCTTTGAGCTGTAATAAGAGCGGGAGTGGCGGAGCTGAATCTGCTACTGCTAGCAGAGGGTTTTGCGCTGAGGGAGGTGAAAGCGCCCTGCTTGGTTGTTGAGAAGGGGGTAGAGACGCCGGATGTGTCCGTGCTGCTGCCGTCATTCGTAGTAGTAGGTTTGCGGTGTTTGGATAGGAAGGATTGGAATTTTAGTTGGCGGTTGGACAAGCTGGCCGCGATCCGGTTGTATGTCTGTGTGAAGTCGGCGCTGCTGGGGGCTGGGGGTAGTTTGGAGGATTCTTTTTCTTTTTCATTAGACGGCATGGTGGTGGGTTTGAAAGTTGGCTTTTGAGTTCAAGAGTCAGGTGAATTATGTGCTTGGATCCGTGACAGAAATGTGTAGGTAGTGTCAGTGCTTCAGATGTCAATTGAAGCTTAAGTAGGAACAGATCTCAGAAATGAGTGCTCTAGACGAAGACAAGATTGAGAAAAGTTGCGAGAAAGATGGTGAAGTTTTGTGATGGCTTGTTTCATGGAAACTGGAAACATCAAGGGCTCTCTCGCTATCTTATCGGGAAAGTTTCATCTTATCGTAGAACAGCCCCTTATTGGCGAATTCCCTGAGGCGACATGCATCTAGTGAAGCTTGTGGCATTATCAGAGCCTCATGGTCAATTAGAGATCAACCTGTCACAACTTCGAGACATGTTGACTCTCCAGATCAATATCTTCCTTCATCTGATGCTGGAACTCTAAGCCTCAGATATTATAACAAGTTCCAGGCTTAGCCTTGGTCGTAGACCCTGCATTAAGCAACAAATTTCAGGTCAAAGTAGACTAGACGCTTCAAACTTCCAAATAAGAACACGCACAAAGTTAAGCAAAACATATCCCAACATTGTCAAATATTGTACAAATATCTACACAATGCATCGGGCGCATGCTATCAAGACAGAACCAAAAAGAAAACCAAGGAAACCCCAGCTTACCCGCCAAATAACTTGAGTAGCAGCATAGAGGAAAACTCAAGACGAGCAAAAGAGCTACCTAGCCAACCAACCACTCAAACGAAAATTCCAATTCCGAAAGTAGTACTGCCATTGCCATAAAACAGAGCAACAGCGTCAAAAGCCAATGCAGTAGCAGCAGTAGCAGTTAGTAGGTAGGCACGTAAGTAGAACATAGCATAACATAGAGTAAACGACGCAAGATTCCATCCATTCATCCATCCCTGCTTCCAGCCAACCATTCATACAATAATAAATCCATCCCAGACAGGATCAGTAGTATCATTCAACATCAGTGCGACGCAAATGCTATAGGGGCGTGTTTTCAAAATAGTCCATCCCGTCTATATAACCTAGAACGTCCCCCTCCCTTACAACGCGTCTGGCTACTGCCGTCTGACTGCCCATGAAATGATAAAATGTATCAATCAACCGACCGCGCAACCAACTTAACCACCTAGCCAGCCAGACAGCCAAGCCATCCATCCATCCATCCATCCAGCCAGCCAGCCAACCGGTTAACCCAAGCAACACAAGCCGATGCTGACGAAGACAGATAAAGTCGATGATAAGAGTACGGACTGGATGCCACTAATGACTAAAACGAACGAGGTAACAAAAAAAAAGAACATGAAACGACACGGTAGAAGCAGAAGGATAGCCCGCCGACCCATTCATCTCTTCCTCGTATCTGAGGCGCAGAAATCGAAAGCAAAGGGCCGACAGGCGAAGCGATTAAGCACTATTATGCGTTCCACGTCGCTATGCTGTATGCAAGCAGTATGCATTCAAATGCCGAGACATAGATAAATAGGTTGTTCGTCGTTCCTCAGAGCTGATGATGTTGATGATGACTCTCAGAACTGGTTAACTGATTCTGTAACTTTTCGAGTCGAAAACAAACGAGCGAAACTCAACAATCGAAAACCTCTTCCAAATCTTATCCAGATCACACACAGCGGTTGGTCGGTCAGTCAGTTGGTCCGTCGATCAGTCGAGTGGCGGCAGCAGCCCAGCTCAGCTCAACAACCCCTTCCCATTCACCCCTCACACTCTTAACGAAATCCTATTGCAGCCTCTTCCTCTTCCTCTCCAAATCATCCCTCGGATCAACCTCATCCTCCATACCCGGCTCCGCCGGATTCAAGATATGGGCCATGCTTCCCCTCCTTGTCGGCGGCGCCGAATCGACCTTCACCCCCAACCGGTCCCTACTACTACTGCTTGCTGAGTTCCACGACCAGCTGCCAAATGTGTTATCGACATGCACCGTCGGCGGCGGCAACGGGCCCTGTTGTTGGCCAGGGTACTGGACCGTTGGCAGAGTAGGTGGCGGCGGCGGCGGCGGGGGGGGACCACCGCCGTTCGTGAAGGCGTGTGGTGGGGGCGGGGTCGCAGGGCGCGAGTGAGATTGCGGTGCGCCGGAGGATGCCGACTGGAAGGAGTAGTGGGAGAAGGACTCGCGGATACGCTGGTCTTCGGTTGTTGGGGGAGGGGCAAGACGGTTCGGGGATGGGGGCCATTGAGAGGAGGACGGGCCGGAAGAGGATGACGGGGGACCGCCGAATGGTGGTGGGTTCGGGTTCGGGTTGGGTTGCCAGCCGTGGGCACGGATATCGGCTGAGGTGTGACGCCGGGCCAAATTAGGGCCGAAGTCAGTTACGTTTGCCAAATGGTGATTGTGAGGACCCGGAGGCGGCGGCGGAGGTGGCTGGACACGCAGCGAGGATGGTGAGGATTGGGCTGTGCCGGCACCCCCTATTGAACCGTACGGACGGCGCGTGCCAATGGACAGATTCGATGGAACAGAGGGGCGGTAGTAGTTGTTTGCCGTGGCCGGTTGCCGGGGCGGAGGGACAGGAAGACCGGCCGCAGAGCCGCGTCGGGGATCATCTTGAGGCAGCTGGCGGGGAGATACAGGTGCGTTCTCGACATTAGCGAAGTAGGGGCGGCTGCCGGCAAAGAGCTGATCGTGGGGTTCTTCGAGGGAGCGGAAGTAATCCATCTGTCGCTGGACTTCTGCCTGCAGGGCCGAGACTGTGGAACGTATTAGGCTATATGTTCCCCGCAAGAGCTTCATATCCCGACAATACTTACCGTCCCGGTGGATGGGGTTGTCAGAGCTTGGGGCTAGGGCCATTACAGCGCGTGACAGCTCATAGTTAAAATGCAGTAACCGGGACACTGTTTCCATGACGGCTTGATGCCGGATTTGCATGTGGTGCACCTGGTCTTCCTGGCGCTGGAGCCGTGCTGACAGGTTGTGGACCAAGTTCTCCAGATTAGCGACCCTAGCGTCATTGCTATCCTGCATTTGCTGGGCCGGTTCTGGCTGCGAAGTGGTTTGATTCTGCTGCGTCTTTTGGTTGTTGTACTCGCGATGCACCAGGGCATGGCGCGATGCTCTGCGCTTGATCTCACGGAGGCCATTGAGGTCACCGCGCTTGAAGTTGCCGGCGCCATGCCTGAACTCCCACATGGTTGACTCGGGCTGGCCTTGAGCAAATACATCGCTCACTGCCGACTGTCAACTACGGCCCTGAGCAATGACAGACGGTCGGTTCAGCATACCTTTATGGAAACCATACATATTCAACTGGCGTACGAAGGACGAGATATTGGTGTGCTTGAAGTATTGCCTGTCCAAGTCAGCCCTACCGTCCCGACCCCGCAATATCTAGCGCAAAAAAAAAAAAAAAAAAAAAACCGAAGAACATACGCCAAAACCTTGGAGAACTCGTGGGACGGCTGCATGACAAAGCTCTCAGCATTGGCCGTCCAGGAGATCAGGTGTGATATGGATTTATCTTCTAGCATGCTAGAAACATGGTCAGCGATCACCATCATAATTGGCCTATACCAGCAGCAAGCGCGCGTACTTGTAGAGCTTATGGATAAAGGCCGTCTGGACGATCTTAGGCTGATGAACAGCGGGAGCTGCCGGAGCCGGCGCCTGAGACGACACGACGGCGTTGCTGCTGCTGCTGCTGCTGCTGCTGCTGCTGCTGCTGCCGTTGTTGCTGTCGGCGGGCGAGGTGTTGGCGCTCGGCGCCGGTTGGCTCGGAGTGCTGCCATTGACCTTGATCTCGATCTCGGGACTCTTGGTCGCCGATTGCGGCGCCGAGGAGCTCGTAGGCGAAGTAATCTCCATTGGGTCTCCTGGAGAGGGTGCTGAGGTCTCAATGATGGGCACCGTTCTGGCGCCGTTCATCGGATCGTCCGGCATAGCAGTATCTGGCCGTTCGGCCGGGAGGGTTTGCGGCACAGGATCAGTGCTGGCTGCCATCTGGTCTGAGAAATTTTTAACAGTCAGTTTTATTAAGAGAGGAACATATCCAGTATGCCTAAAAGACTGGAAAGAGGCTCTTGGGGAGTCGGGCTCACCGGTGGCTCTGGCCAGCAGCCAGGCCGCCAGCAGTCGAGAGCCGCATGTAGTAAGAGCGGCGGAGGTATCACGCTCTCAGCCTAGCCACGACCACTCCCACATGCTGCCCAGCCTGCGAGAAGCGAGCGGATGCCCCGTGATAACACCGAGCCTGTCAATATCTCCCCCCGGAAGCCCACATACCTCATCCCCTGCGCTAGATACTCAATTGCGGTACGCGCGGGTAGCGTGCGTTCGGAAAGAAGCGCAAAAGAGTCTGTTGATCAAGATTCGGTCCTCCCGTCTTCTCTAACCACGTCTTGCATTGGCTGGTCACCGGCGTATGATTTAAGCCTCGAGTCACCGTCTCCTGGTCGAGCTTGTATCGAGTTACGTGTGTTAGGTGTAAGTGTGCGTGCCTGGCAATCGGATGGCTCTTGGATTTCCTCGGTCAGCCGTCGAAGCCGCAGTACCCGTGGCAGCCGCAGGGTCTTGTCGTCGCGGGATGTAGCAGTCGGCCGTGTTTGGCGATGTCGGAGACACGTGCTCAAAAGTCAGGCGTGCGATGCGTGAGCTGGACTCGGTGTTGGCGTGCAGAAGGGTTTCCAATCCCGGAACAGAAGGGAAAAGGATGAGTCGAGAAAGAACCAAAGAGGGTGCAGATGCTGCAATGTAAGTACTGTGTGTGTGGATGGGACACGATGGACGCTGTGGATCAGTGGATGCAGGCCTGCAGCCGTGGACCGTAGGCCGTGGACGCTCGACGCTGTGAAAGTGGATCAAAAGACGGCTTTCTCGTCTTTTTTGTGGGCTCGCCTGGCTGGCTGGCCTGCCGGGTGGCGGCTTTGGTAGGCGACACGCTAGGACTCGACGCTAGCGATGTACCTAACTTGGAGATGCAGGAGCGTTAAAGCTGACCTTGTCGGGCAACACCTCACGTCAAATAACAACACCAAAACAGCACAAAATCAAAGTAGAATAACTTTTGCAAAAGCTATCCGGCGTACGTTACATGGAGTGATGTTTTAACACCTACGTCTGTCGCGGATCTTGTGCTTACATATGGCACCATGGCCAGCAGAAGCGCAAGGCGGCTGTACCTGCGAGGTATCACAGTAAAACGCAGGATCTGTCTGGAGTCTCGTCCACCTGTGCACTTGCACTTTCGTCCGTGGAAGGAAAACCCAGTGAGGGGCTACAGGGGTCCGGTTGTGCTGCAGCGGCACCCACTGACCACAGCTCTTTGGTGCTGGGACGCTATAGAGCACAAAAGGAAGCCCCAGGAAGCCAGGAAGGGCAGTGGAAGACCGAGAATGTCAACCCTGCGCATTCCGCGGCCTGGTTGGCGGCTCAGCCAGCTGTGGCCTGGATGTTTCTGGACAATATATCGACGCTTCCAGAAGCCCGGTCTGCTCCTCGCGCCGCCTAACCTGGGCAGAAGGGTAAAATGTCGAATCGCAAAGATGAATGCTATCCGCTTGTATGGGCTATTCCGGTGAGCACTATCATCGCGGTTTTCTAAAGACCGCGCTAGAATCTGGACTTAAAGTATCCACATAGACTGGAACTCCACGATCGCGAGAAGCCTCTCATGCAGTCTGCAGAGCCCGGATGCAGCAGGGGCAATTGGTGTGTGATGGATCGGAAGAAGGCAAGACAGGAGAAGCAAAAAGGCAAGGGTTCGGTGGACCAGGGTGCCAAAATTGGGACCTATCTTGGCCGTGGAATCGGAGCCCGAGCTCACTGGCGCATCTTGAGTGCGGCGGGATGTTTGGACCGTGGGCAGCATGGATGTGTGGGAGTGCAGGTGAGCGAACGGGGCGACACTGAACGGCAACCCGAGTTCACTGGCCATCCCTGGACCCCTGCCGTTCGAACTTCGTTCGCGCCATGTTCCAGCGCCTCATGTCGTGGGATGTCGCGCAGAGACAACCGTGGGAACCCGCCAATTGAGAGTGCCCGGGCCCTGAGCGGCGCGACTCGCAAGACATGCGCGAATGGGGTGGCCAAGTGATGGGGACAGGTGAGATTTGTGAACCCAAGAGTCCAGAGAGGGAGGGACTTGCACAATGGTGTAAGTGCTTCGAAGAGCTCACTGCCAAAGGGAAAAAAAAATTGCAACAACCAGACTCGAGTTTCGAGCAAACAACTGTCTCTCATATGCAACAATATCTTTGCACTTCATCCTTTCATTACCACTGTCGTCTTTGCATCCTTGCCCCGGCGGCCGGGAACCGGCAGGGCGAGCAGGTGCCGTCTTGGCTTGTGCAGGCATGCCTGAAATTGGGAAGAGGGGACGGCGATCGATCGAGTCAATACTGCGCCGGATCGAGCTCCTGATTGCTGTCGTTTGGCAGCCCGTGGCGCTCATGGCCGCCTGCGGGAGAGTGGAAGGACGCCCATCCACCACCATGGAGGGCTGTGATGTTCCGCTCCGCCGTGAGCCGGTGTCGCACATCCTCGCTCTGCTACTTTGCCACATGCCTGCTGCTAGAGGGTCCATGAACCACAAACGTGGGTGATGAAGAGTTGAAACACCCACCAGACAGTACGAGCAAGAATCCCTGTGTTTATGTTAAAATGCATGGAAACCAGGGGAGAAAATGGAATGAGGTGCATGCTGCATCCTTTTTTTTTCTCGGTCTGCGGGGTGTTCTTGTCTGTCCACTCCGATCGAGGTCGGGGACGGGAGCTAGCGCGGAGATTAACAACATTAAATCCCGCTCACTTTTCAGAAAACAAACCTGGGACGTTATGTCAAATATTCATCTGTCATGAGCCTGCCATCGGTCAACATAACGGGCTGGATCTGGATCTGGATCTGGACTTGTGGGTTTTCTGACTTTTGGACAATCCTGGTCTGGATTCTTTCAGTGGGCCAAGGATTCCCCTCCCCCGCTCGAAGGTTCCCCAAACGACACCCAACAGGGCAGTCGAGACTGAACTCAGCATCACGACAACCTTGGAACCAGCACCTGCCATCCATGGGTTGCAAGTAGACAGGCAGACGAGTGAGGTGCCCTGGCAGGCGAACTGGGTTTCCATTCATGTCCAAAACGGGAAAGTGAAAGCCGGAGACTTTCGTGGCTGCATCCTTTCCAGCGGCCGCTATTCAGCGGCCACTCGGCCCCATCACATGGATTGCTCCAACTGTCGACCCTCCCTCCCTCCTCTCCGGGCCCAACCTGAGATCTTGAGATCTTGCACACTTCGCACAGTCAGACATCACCCACCCCGGCCAACTACCGATATCCCGAGACCTCTAATCCCATTAGTACATTCCGCTTAGGTTATCTTCCGGACAGCAACCCGAATGCTGCTGAGCTCTGGCAGCAGCAAACGGCGCCGCCTTCGGGTCTACTCGTCCCGAGGTTATATTGCTCCTCGCTGTCATTCTCATTCATGTGTGCCGACCATCCAACGGGTCTTGGATTTTAGCTCTGCTCAAGTCTAATGGGATTAGACCAAGGCCTTGCAAAGGGGTTGTTGGCCATGTCATAGTCCATCCAGACATCCAAAACTGACTGCATTTTACTGGCCATGGCCGCCCATAATGCAGCATATGAGACCAACCTGGAAGGCTCCCTCCTCTCGATGTCGTGACTGCGGCTGGATATCTATCACGCCCAACATACACTCTGACACTTGACTGGCCAAGTCAAATTCGGTACTGAAGTAATGGCAACGCGGATATGCTTCCTTGACCTACAATATATTCATGGAATCCTGCCACAGAAGATAAATGCCCAATCTACCCGGTATTGAACTTGCACAAGACCTCCTTCTTCTTCTCCAATTGAAGTGTTTCATCTCTATTTCTAGGCTGCCCGGCAACGTTCCATTCGCATGATCGCCTTGGTCCTTGCCCCTTTAGATCATTCTCCGCTTCCTGATTCCCCGTCCAGCACGGACGCCATCACACACACACCTTTAATGTTTCTTGGCTTTTCGAGATGCCTCAGATTTGATGTCGCGATCGGCCAACGTCACATCGCCAAGCCTTCGTCAGCACGTCCTCTACGTCACAAGGTGGCAGTATCATTGGTGTTGCCCTTGCTTGATCACAAGGATGCTACTTACTTCCCGTTGCTAGTGAGTGCCTAGGTAAATTTTGGTAGTCATCGGAGGATCTCCCACGATTCGTGTTGGATCTGTTCTCTCTCTGACATACTCTGCCAGTGCGATCAATCAGAACCACTCACCTGAGTTTCTGTCAGCCCTTGGAAGCCCAATATTACCGGTCTGGGACAGTTTGGTTGCTCCTTTGGATATACACCTCATCCCCCTTTGAGTATTCATCTGCCCAAAGAGGGGGTTGAGAGTAACATAAGTGGGATCTAGGATGGCATGCTGACCACCATATCGGTGTTTTCCGATGAACTTCACCGTTTTCCCACGAAGCTCCATGTTAGAGTTTCTTCGGTTTTGTAGTAATTATCAAGTTTTTTTTTTTTTTGGTAAGATTGACCAAGTAGCTCTTTGTTGGTAAGAAACGAGAGGAAGCAATCCGGACCACTCTTCCCGTCATGTCGCGGAATGCTTTCGGCCGACCTAGACACTATATGCTTCGGAGAATTTCAGTTTAATAAGTTTGAACTCATACAAGCCGAGAGGTCATCCGGGACAACACGACAGATGCGAGCTTTCAGGTCACTGTGCCGCTAAAACCCGACTATCTCCTTAGAGAGACATGGCACCTTGTGTTTTACGAGTTGGAGGCGGCACCGCATGTGTACAAGAAAACGTGAATCATAAGAGTAGGTGTTATGCACCGAGGAAGAAACCAAACGCCCTATGTTATATTATGAATACTACTATACATATCGTCAATGGGCCAGTCTTAGAGGCCTACACAGAGGGGGTGCTCAGCAGTATGTGATTGTCCAACGCTAGAGATGGCAACAATATCTTGCCCTCATCAAAAGCAGAATACTTTTAATTCTTGACATGTCCATTATGATTGTACTGACGACCCTACCTCACAAGGAAGTGCCAGGTGTATTCAGTACACTGTAACTTTAAACACCACTAGCGCTACCTAGGCAATCGAATTAGGTATTTGACTTTTGCTCTCATGAAGGTACGTTGTGGTAACAGAGCGAGAGGATATGATGCCAAAAATCGCAAAAAAAAAAATAGAATAAAATAAAATAAACTAAAATAAATGGAAATAAAAAAAATTGAAAAAAGCACATCGACCAGCCCGCCGGCTGGTGACATCCCGATATGAGGTGACTGGCTACGAAACTCCCTCATAGACGGGAAAGTTTCACTTCGTCGTAGGACGGTAGCGGCGGCGATAGAGGCGAGCGGTCGGTCAGTTGTCGGTACAGCGTCAGCGAAAGAAACACCCCCACCCCAACACCCATTCCCCGGGCCTATTTTTGAGATGGGTAAAATCATTGACCGCAGCTCGAGTTGAACCTCAGGACTTCCAGGTGGGGAATATCAGACTGTCCTTGCAGGTAACCGCGACCCTCCCGCTTGACTATCCAACCCAGTGGGGGGGATTAATTGTTGGAAGGGGCGCCGCGTGAAGCTATATAGAGAGTTTGGAAGGAAGCTGGGTTGAAAGTGAAAACGCGAGGAGAGGCTAAAGGGGGGGGGGGCGGTAGATGATCTCTACCTACCTAGGTAAGTACTTATTCGTAGACTCTCATCTCCAAACGAGAGCTGATGTCTTGAATATAAAGGGCAGCAGATTTATACGGGAACGAACGTTGTTGCTGAGCAGGAAAAGGTTTGGTATCAACAAGAGTCGTCGAGCACAGTCAAGTTCGATGAATACCAGAAGCTTGTGGACACCATCACAAAAGTCGGAATATAATCGAAATAGTAGTCGCAATTCATCACGCTTGACAAATATATCTACTTCCAAACCCCATAGACAGCTATATAATCCATCCATCCATCCGATACCTCCCTGATCCCATTCCCAATACCCTATCCATCCATTATCCTTCATAGACCCAACTCGACTCTAACCATTACCCCTATCTTTAACCATCTTCAATAATCCTCCTCGTCTTCATCCCGATCACTATCTCCACCCTTCTCAGCTAACTCCTTGATCTTCTCCCCCAACACCCTCTTCCCATACCGTTCCGCCACCTTTCCGGCCGCCTCGAGCATCTTGCCCGTGCGATCACGCATGAGTTTCACAATCTCCAGCGCGCGCATCGATCTTTCATCGCCGTTGCTGATCCGACACTCCAGCGCCAGCATCTGGAGCAGCGTCTTGTCAATGTCAAGCTGTAGACGTGCCAAGCGGGCGCGGTCCGAGACCGAGGGGATCTTGTTGTGGGACAGTTGGTCGGCCAGTTGGGAGTAGGAGAGGGAGAGGAGGAGGTAGGATTGGGAGAGGCGGAGGGATTCGGATTCGGGGGAGGTAGAGTCTTCCTCTTCTTCCTCATCGGCGGAGGGACCGGAGAGCATGAACTCATCTTCGTCGTCCGGGTTGTCGGGACGGCGTTTGTCTTTCTTTTTGCCGCCGCGGGGGGCAGAGGTGAGGGGAATGGAAAAGTCAAATTCGGAGAGGAGCGGGCGCGGGAAGTAGGGGTACTTCTCGCCTCCCTTGAGGATGATGCAGTGGAACTTGTTGTCGGCGACCGCGATGGGGAAATAGGTCTCGTGCTTGCGGCCAGAGGCGAGGCGCGGGAGGAGTTTGGTATCTAACAGGGGGATCCAGACTGCGCGAGAGGGTTGGCGCCAGTGTAGGAGGGTCAGGAGCGTGCCTGTTGAGTCGTAGATGCAGGGGTCCTGGGGTTGTTAGCAAAGTCTTGTCTTGTCTCGAGTAGGTAGGGGGGAGTAAGGGGTATGTATAGAGAGGAGGAGGAAAAGAAGAAGAAGAAGAAGAAGAAGAAGGAAGAAGGAGGAGGAGGAGGAGGAGGAGGAGGAGGAGGAGGAGGAGGAGGAGGAGGAGGAGGATTGGCTTACACCTTGATCAGAGAAAAAGACACTCTGAACGCTCGCGCCCTCGGGCAGAGCGACAGTGTCCTCGTTCTGGCACATCTCGTCATGCTTAATATCCTGAATCGAGTACAACAAACGACACTGGCCGTCAGGCCCAACCGGGCCGTTGCCCATAGTTAGGACATAGTCCTTCCAACTAGCACACGTCACGATGGGCGTGCTCTTAGGCCGGTAAACACGGTAGGGGATCCCAAACAGTGTGTAAATCCTGACATAGTTCGCCGACGTCGTGACTGTCACGAATGAGTCGCTCAGCGACAGGGCCAGGACGCTCTCCCCCTTAGGCAGCTCGATGCGCCAGTCGGTGCGCTGGACCCAGGTCTCGTGGGGGCGGTAGAAGATGACTGCGGGGCGGTCGTCCTTGGGAGGGGCTGCGAAGAGCGTGCCCTTGTCGTTGAGGCACGCCTTGTCGTAGCCGAAGGTGTCGGTGAAGTGGAAGTCACGGTGGAAAGCATGGTCGTAGAATTCGACGGTCACCGTGTTGTGCGTGTCCTGGTCGACTGTCCACACTACGCCGACCAGGTTCAGGCAGAGATACTTGCGGTTACCCCTCCAGGGAGTCGAGCCCGGCTGAAAGGGCGGGTGGACTTGTGGCTGGAAGTAAGCGCTGCGCTTGTTGGGGTATGCCCCGAGATCATCCTCCGCAGCACGCTTGCGCGCCGCGTTAAGGGTATATCCTGCACCATCGTCATCCACGACGAACCCGTCATCATCCATGTCCTCGTCACCACCGGGCCCACCAAACCCATCATCCAACAAATCATCCAAATCATCATCCAGCGGCCTCCTCGGCCGAGACGGGATATTATGCGCCCCAGCGTCCGCCCTCCGCCCATTAGTAATCTCTTCCCTCGGATCATGGATAAACGGAGCAGGCTGCTTCGGCAGCCGCAGCATATTCTCAAACATCTCGGGCACAAACTCCGGGCAGATGTAGACCTCGCCATCCGACGTCGTGAACGACGCCAGGTTCTGGGTCGGGTGCCAAGCAATATCAATGACGTTGGCGTAGTCGTACCGCGCAATCACGCTCTGGTCCTTGGCCAGCCAGATCAGGATCTTCTTGTCCTTGCCTGCTGTCGCAAGCAGCGCGCCGTTAGGGGACCAGGCCAGCGCGGTGATGTGACCCTCGTGGCCGTGAGCGAAGGCGCGCTGCTTCTCGCCGTCGTGTTTGGAGACGACTTGGATGTCACGAGTGGGCGTGGGCACGGCGAAGGCCCGCCCGTCCGGGTGCCAGGCTACACGGGTCGAGACTTCGGAGTCAGAGTCGACGCGGCCGATGACGCCGTCGACTTTGCGGATGAGCTCGGGGGGGTCGGCGGTCATGGAATAGATGTAAATGATGCCATCTGTGCAGGACAGCGCCAGAACGTGCCCTGACGGGTCGAAGGACAAGTGCTTCGCGGGAGCCTTATGCTCCCTAAGCGTCTTCAAGCGCGAGGTATCCTCCACATTGACCAGTCTCACCGTCAACTCATCACTCGCAACCGCACACCACTTCCCGTCCGGCGACAACGCCACGTCCCTCACAGGCAGCGAGCATCTCAACAGAAATCGATCGAACACGAGCGTATCGAGCGAGTAGTAGCTGACGGTGCCGTCCTCGGCGCCAGCGACGAAGAAAGTGTTGGCGGCGGCGACGGCCAGGTTCTGCTCCTGGCAGTCGTCGATGTTGTCGGGCTCGCCGTCGAAGCCGGTTTTGTACAGGCGGATGGTGTTGTTGGAGCCAACGGTGACGAGGCGAGTGCCGTCGGGCGTGTAGGCGCAGCGGGTGGTGCCATGGGTATGGGCGGGCCGCGCACGGGGGCGCGAGGCGATGAGGGACGCCATGTGCCTTTGCTTCAGTGGAAGAGTATGGACATTCGAGGAATAAGACTAGGGAGTAGACGTCAATATCTTGGCAGTAGGTTGGCAGCGGTGCTCCGGACTGGACGGGATGTCACCGATAGGGCCAGCAGGGTTTGTGATGCTGTGATGTTGGTGGGGAGTTGCCCAGTTCCAAGGTTTGCCCAGCGCGGGGACGCGAGGGACGCGTCGACCGCGTTTTCCATTAGTTTTCGCGTCAGCCCCACATTCAATTTACTCTAACCCTAACCCCTGCCGAGGGGGGGGTCTTCGGTCCGGGACGCCAGCTGCTGCCGTCCGCTGCCCTCCGTCAGGGCAGCGTCCGCTACCCCCTTTTTCAACCCAACTCAACGGCCAAGTTTACACAGTTCCAGCTCAGCAACTCAAAGATTACGTCGGACCATAATAAAGAAGAAATCCCTCTCACATAGGCGTCTGACTGGTTATTTTCCACTCGCTAACAACTTAAACTCTCTCATAAAACAAAGATGCAGTCGTCCGACCCGCGTCACTTTTTCGAGAGCGAGTGAGTGTTCACAAAAATCACTGAAGCTCGGTTTCCTGACTCTTTGATTAAGTAAACAGTACGTGCTGACCTCGGAACGACAGTGCCGAAGTTGCGAAGCGTGAGCGACGCGCCGCCAAATCCAGCAACAAGTTGGGCAATCCCATCTCGCTAAAGTCCAAGATCCTGGCCGCTATTCCGGACCCCAGGGCGCCGTCGAGGAGCATCTTGGTGGCCGAGGCCGCGGGATGCGTCCGGCAAGTCAATCTGGATGTATGTACGTGTGACAAGTTTCGAGCTTGGAGATGAGTCCGGGGCAATCTCGACTCGTCCCCCGATCATGACTGCTGTGGAAGTGGTTTACGTAGAGCGCATACTCACCCTCCCAGAACCCCGATGAGCCTTCCCGCCCCACTTACCGCGGCCCAACCACCCCCGTCTGCAGCGTCGCCGTAGGCGGGCCCAACAACGGCACGCTCTTCGCCGGCTGCTGGGACAAAACCATCTGGTCCTGGGACCTAGCGACCCGGGTCCCGGGGCGCAAGTTTGTCGGACACAGCGACTTTGTCAAGGCGGTGGTGTGTGCGACGGTGGGCGGCAAGCACGTGCTGATCAGCGGCGGGGCAGACAAGAAGATCATAGTGTGGGACGTGGTGACGGGGCAGCGGCTGCACACGCTTCAGGACAGCGCGGTCAACATGCTAAGCGTGCAGGACCTGATGGTCGATGTGGAGGCGTCAACCAAGGATGAGATCAGTCTTGTAAGCGCCAGCAGTGACCCGCATATCAGGAGGTGGAAGATTAGGTTGGATGGGTGGGAGAGGGTGCCCGATCAGAGTGAGAGCGGGCCGGGGATTATTCTGGAACATGAGACGACTGTGTACCGGCTGCTGCTGGATCAGACTGGTGATGATGTTGATCTGTGGACGGCTAGTGGTGACGGCACGGCCAAGTGCCTTTCGCGGGCTAAGGGGTTCGCCGTTGAGGACACCATTACCCACGGTGACCACGTCCGGGCTGTCGCCGTTACGGATCAGTGGGTCATCACGGCAGGCAGAGACGAAGACGTGAAGGTGTGGGATCGGGCGTCGGGCAAGCTGCAGTGCTCGCTGGTCGGCCACTACGACGAGGTGATCGACCTGGTCGTTCTGGACGGAGGGGCACGTGTCTGCAGCGTAAGTCTGGACGGTACTGTCCGGATATGGCAGCTCGACCAGGCCGGGCTGGATAAGGCGGTCAAGGACCAGGAGAAGTGGGCAGCCGGAGAGCAGGAGAAGAAGGAGGAAGCGCCTGCTAGCTTGCTGAGCCCAGAGGAAGAGGCCGAGCTTGCAGCGCTCATGGAGGAGGATGACTAGACCTTGCTGTTATTCTCGGAGTATAATGAAGCCTATGCTTGTTGGCTGATGTCACACACGGATTACCTAATGCCCTTGCTGCTGGAAGTGTGAGGTTGATTGTAGGAGACTGCATCTTTCCGTCTGCGTTCCATGGCTCTTCATATCTTCTGGGTCTTGAATTCCAGTCCCAATTTTTTTTGGGGGGGGGGGGGAAGGAGTTGGGAAGGGGGGACACCATCAACACCGGACTGACTTGTCTTTGATGTCTCGGGGGGAGTCCCTGAGCGGCTTACCGAAGGTCAAGAGAAATCAGTCCTTGCGGACGCCATTCCAAACACATGCCGCACGAACGGGATTGGATGCTGGAGAAGACTAGGCGCGCGCCAGTTGCGGAGATTTCAGGAATGACTCTACCTATGCAGGGGCAGTCGGCAGGCTGCAGAACCTGAGGATTGAGCCACAAACGCTGAAGACGTGGACACATGGCACGGGATGATTTTGCCTTTTTTTTCCTCTCTTTTCTCTTTTCTTTCTTTCTTTTTTGATAAAGAACACAAGAAACACCAGAAACTGAGAGTCGCAAATGCGGGGCGATCATGATTACATGGCAGCCGTAGCCCTGTCATAACCTCAACTCTCCGCTGACATCCGTGCCTCGGGTTCGCCGTTCTTTGCTGCCAGCCCACGTGCCGCAGTATATCGATGGAGGTGATAGATGTGAAACAACCGGTTCTTGAGGGATGCAGATGTCGCGTGGGATACGAGTCTAAGTAGCTGAGCTCAACGTTTTGGAAGTTAGATGTCCTTCAGCCCCAACCGCCAGTCTACGACAAATGCTGATGATGTCCGCCACTCGTTGGATTCATGTGGTTATTATCATCGCCCATGTGATGATGGGCCTGCGTTTGTGGCTGCAGCAAATCTTGGGTCGCTTCCATCCGGTTGGATTCTCATCTGCAACACAACAACACTGACAGCATTTTGTCGGCAGAAGCGGCAGATCAACGAAAAAAAAAAAGAAAGGATATGATGGCAACGCGTCAACATATTGGCACTCTATGAGCGCCATCTCGACAAAAGGCCTGCACTAGGAAAAAGAGTGGGCGTCGGCGGCCATCAAACACGCGGAGGCCGGATTGGTGCTTGGCGTTGTGGCTCACCCCAGATCAGACCAACAAACGTTGGATGGCGAACTGCGAACTGTAAACGGGCAAACTGTCGAAACGGTGGGAGATGCGAACGAGAGATGGTTTAGTGGGGCAGTGGAGCCTAGACTCGTGGATGGAGAAGGTGGGTCTAAGCAGGGGGCGGCCCCACTATAGGGCCCAGATTTTGCACTTTACCAGATACGGAATGACATGACACAACGTTATTGGCCCGATCGACAGGGGCTAACATTGCCTGGCTTTTGGCAGCTTGTAGCTTCCGAACCTTGATGACATGCAACGTGATGAAGCAACAGCACCTTCCCGGAGAGACGCTCGGCCCCAGGTTGCAGTGCTTTTTGCCTGTTCGCAGGGCAGCATTCTTGCGTGGCGCCGAGGATACCAAAATCTTGTCAAGGCCAAAAATTGCATCTGCTCTTGCTCACGCTTCCCGTTTCTACAATTTTGCCCGTTTTGGTGGGAATCCACAGCAACGACCAACCCGACACCAAAAATGGGGCCTTGTCCCCGCCGGCCCTGCAGTTGGGCAGATCAACCGTCGCGCCACGACATGCAAGCTTTCTTCCCTTACAGGATGGCCAAGATGACAACAAGGATGAGAGATGCAGCGGCTGCAGTCTGCTCGAGCAAGAATCCGAACTGAAGTCGGGTTTTTGAAACACCAATTGCAGCTGGTCAAGCCCTCGTGCTTGAGGAATTCGAAATGGGCCTCGAAAGATGCTGCCATTTCCAGCTCGTGCCATTTATTTTGATTTTTTTTTTTTGGTTCCCAAAGAAATTACCTTAGTTGTACGCTGCTTACACGCCGGTGCTGTACTGTATGTGTAAGCCACCATTGAGTGCCGCAGAGTTACCAGACTGAGGTTGCAGCGCAGACTAGAATGCTCTCTCTCCATCTACCTGGAACGCCGTGAGCCTGCAGACAAGAGAACAATCAACAGAAGGCCAAAGGGGGTCCTGCAACGGCAGCGGGGCCGTTCAGCCTCTCATTCCTTTCGCATCCCTCTCGCCAACCCCCGGCCGCCGCTCGAACTCTAGGCAGGCATCAAATCAGTGTCGTCGTCTCCGATATGGAGAAAGAGATGATGGAGATGTGTGGTCCTGATCTCGGAAGCGTTGATGAGCCCCACGTTGCTCAAGCTTAGATAGATACTTAGAGTTTTCTGCAAGCTTGCACAGCGTCGTTTCAGGTGTCTCTGAGCCAATCACTCTCTCGTCGTGTTTCTGTACACTTTTCTGCGCGACATGTCGCTATCCGGCCAGTCTTCCCGGCTATGAGAGGGAAAAAAAAAAAAAAATCGTTCCGGACACAGAATCTGATCCGCGGCTTAGGAGGTTCTCACTCCTACCACATTCTTGCTGCATCCTCGCCATCTTCGCCACGATCCTACCCTATCCTACCCTACCGTACACTGCCCGTACACTACCTACCCATCTGGACCATCCTGAGCTTGCCGATGCTCGCTACGGCCTGGGCTCGAGCGTGCTGAGATGGCAAACTGAGGGGTTCTTTATATCAATGGAGATGGACGTTGCAGTGAGATCCAGAGCATCCAGACAGGACCCGTCACTACTCCTCGCTTGATCCGCATCTCTGGACACTGCGGATTTCTCAGCTCCCATCTTGATGCTGCTTTTGCTCTGCCCCGAGACACCCAAACAGGCACCCGCAGCCGAACACATCCACCCAGTCGGTACAGCCGGCACGACGTACAGCAGAAGCGGCAGAACAAGACTGCCTGAGCGGCGGTGATCCGTTCGGCGTTGTGGGCTGTTGTGGGCCGTTGTGATGGTGTGGTGTTGAGCTAATCCGTTGGTTGCCCCCCGCTGCTGAGTGTTGTGTGCGCATTGCATTGTTTGCTTCATAGCCGCAGGCTGGCGGCTCATAACCTGCCAACAAAAGTTCCTCTTCTTCTCTCGTTTTCTCGCGGCTAGCTGGCTGGATAATCTGGGGCCGTCGACCATTGACCAACTGACCACACACAGTGGGAATTGGGATTGAACGGTCGCACAGTCGGCTATACCCAACGTGTTTCCTAGGTTCCTAGACTCTGTCTCAATCCCGTCCGATTTTGAATCATCGAGCCGGAGACAATCTCATCTCATATCATATCATTATCCTCCCCCATCTTGGTCTGTCATACTGTTGCACGCTTCGGCTTTTGTCTTTTATCGTCTCCAGCAACATCCTGGCGCAAATCCTTCGGACCCCAGCTTTTCTCCAGCGTTCCCCAGCTGTACCGCACGCCACATCCTCTTCTGCGCGGTGCCTCGAACGACTTACACTCTCGCCGATTTCCTTGTTTGGACGGACGTGGCTGTTTCTTTTCTTTTTTTTTTTACACCTTTTTTTTCCCTCCCCTTGCAAGCCACGAGAACCACGCTCACCACGCTCACGAAACAGCAGGGGCCGCTTCCCGTGTGGTGAGCTTCGGAGTTCTCCCTGGGGAACTTGCAGCTTGCTCAAACATTTCTCAAGTTCTAGAAATTCGGCCTCCGTCCGCATTCCAAGACAAGACAAGACAAGACAGCAATTTCCTGTTTCTTTTCTCTTCTCTCGGAGAGTCAGTAACGCCGTTGGCGACGATCTTTTCTCCTGGGCGTTGTGGTTCGTTGTCGTGGAGACGTAATCCACCTGTGTCGAAGATTGTCAATCTTGACGTTTGAGTTAAAACATGGCGCCGCCGATCACTCCGCAACGGGCGGGAGCCATTATTGCGTTGGAGGGTCCGTCCGACCTCGTATCGACCCAGCTGCGTCTGCTCCCGTCCTCCCCAGACATTCTTGTGCTTCCTAGCATCCAGCACTACATCAATGGCCCCGGGCCCGCCGAGCAAACATCGTTCGATGCACGCGCTCTCGTCCGTAGATACCACCAAGCAGCGCTGGCTCGGCACTCCGAGGCACTGGACTTCCTGAGGCCTTCGTCATCAGGGGAAGCGCAGGCCCGCCTCGTCTTTACCCACGGTGGATCTATGTCTGTCAGGGTTGCCTGCCTATCAGCCATTATGGAACACGAGGCGGAGGGCAACATTGAGGTGGCCTATGCAACCTACAGCCGAGTCGTGGGGAAGAGCTCCGGACGACCAAGGACGAGTGACTCGGACGGCGAGGAGCACACGTCATGGCTGCAGAGCCCCAAGTCAGCTTCCACGGACAAGGCAGATGAGGCCTTCCAGCACCGATGGGACGTCGACGATGACGACAGCTTCGAGAGTCGCATCCTGCGCGCCATGCGGGCGGCCGACGCCCTCGACAAGGAAACAGAGTTCTTGCAGCCGGGCAACGAAGACGTGGACCTGACCGTTAGGCTGATTGACATCCCATCGCGTCCCCGTCCCCGTTCCCGTCTCCGTCCTCGTCCCCGCGAGAGCCTTAGCTCAATGGTCTCTAGCGGAGCTCCCGAGACGCATCGAGAGACATCCGCAGCGACCTCCAACACGCGCAAGCCACCGCTTCGCATCCAGATCCCAAGGTCGGGAACGCCTCTCTCATGGAGCAGTGAGGCTGTGGTAAAGACACATCGCCGGCACTCATCACACTTCTCTCCGAAGACATTCTTGGAGCGCGAACCGCAGCCGCTTAGGCCCAAGACAGCCGAGGCGGAGCTTTCACCTAAGGAAAAGCCTGAAAACGCGACGCTGTTTTTTGCAAGTCCGTTGGCATCTCCAAATCAGACCGACGCGCGGGAAGAACACGCGCTCACGGCTCCCATCGCCGGCGACGAGAAGGACGAACAGCCGGTCGAACCACTCCCGCGTCTGGAAGATGTCGTGCTCCTCCTCGATATTGAGAGCCCGAACGAGGTCCAGGAGTTCATCCTAGAACGGTTCCGAGACGAGTCCCGATCGGACGCCCAAACGACCGTCGAGCCCGATGATCGGGATCGAGGACGGATGAACAGCGCGCAACGCTTAGGGTGTGAATCGCCTTGGATGGAGAATGCCCTTGTCCACGGCTTGCCGACCCCGCCAGGTCACTCGCCGACGACTGCCAGCGTAGCAACGGACACAACGCTCTACAGCCTCAGCGTCAGCCAGGAAGCAGCAGTCTCTGTTCAGAACCATCTCCGCTCGTTCTTGGCCACGGTTTTCCCTCTCAGGGACACGAGCTATGCAGCATCCGATTCCGAGGACGGCGTGTGGAAGCCTCTGGATTGCGACCCTCGCAGGCTCTCGTCTGTTGATGGCAGGCGGCTGGATATGATCTTGGCCGTTGGCGCGGAGAGCCGAGTCAAGAGAGATCGCGTGGCCGAGATCGTTGGGCAAATCGAGAAGCTGGGCTTCAAGTCAAGTGGCCTCTGCCGGAGCGGACGACTAGATCTGCGGTATGTATACGGATGGATGTATACGGAAGTGAATAACCACGAAGCTTCGGCTTAGATGTGTGCTAACCCAAAGTCACCTACGTAGCTACTTGATTGCAAATGCCATGCAGGCCTTCACCGCGCAACCTCTGACCAAGCAGACGAGCAATCCATTTGCCGACCGCACTCTACTGGCTGCACTCATCATCCCTCACCTCGAGACATACCTTCGGACGCATCCCAACGTCCGCTTCTTGCTCATCGAGTATCCTGCCGAGCATCTCGCCACTGTGCTTGCTCTTCAAGCTTTAATCGGCGTTGAGCTGATGAAGGTCGTGGGCATTGTTCACGGGGACAGCTCGGCACAGTCCACAGATGGTGATCGGCGCCCTAGTGAAGGTGAAGGTTTTCGTGCTCTTAACCCTCGCCAGGGCTCCTCACTCTCCGGTGCCGTTCTAGGAGCCTGTTCATTCTCGAATGCCAATTTCCTACTATCCTCCTCCGCCAGCGCCTTCGAGACGGCCGCCTTTGTAGCCGCCATCCGCGAGAGCCTCATCTCTGTATCGGACTACTACATTCCCGAGCGCGCCTTGTACAAGCAGCCCCAGCCCGAGCCTCCGCAATCACCGCCCCGCACGAACCGTCCCAACGTCAAGCCCATCATCACCGAACTCGTGCAGCCAACGACTGCCCCGTCCTCGTCAGCCTCCTCACGCATCTCGACCTCAACCCTGGTCATCACCCCTCCCTCTTCGCCATCCGACCCATATCCAACCGCCCTCCGCTACCCGCCCCCTCAGCAACGTCCCCCCTCCCCAACAATAGCATCCAACCCCCCTTCCCGCAAAACCGCCTCCTCCGACCTCCCCTCTCGCTCCTCAGCCCCGGGCACTCGTAATGGCGCCGCCACCCTCCAGACATCTATCCGCCGGGGCCCCACCAACTACGGCACCTCATCCTCGTCTTCGTTTCCAGACCCGCCTTTACCCCCACCACCTAGGACTTCCAGCGCCGCGGCTGTTATTACGACTACGACTACGATGACTGCGACTACGACTACTGCTGCTGCTGCTGCTACTACGCCTGCCGGGGGGATGCCGGCCCCAAGTATAGTCGTCAGTGTTCCGCCCAGCGGAACAAGTAATGGTTACGGGTATAGTTCAGATCCCAGTACCGAGCGGCCCGGGTCCATGGTGGTGGATGTCAGCAACCATGAGGCCGGGGTAGCCATCTCGACGGATAGGCCGGTCACGTCGGAGGGGTATTCCCCCTCTTCCAACACCGGTCGACGCGGCGCGGGGTATTATTACGGAGATGAGCTCACGCTGGAATCCTTAGGGAGGACCAGTCGGAAGGGGAGTATAGCCGGGAGTAGCATCAGCGTTGCCTCGTCGGCGTTGTCTTTGATGGATGATGAGTTTGAGTGGTATGATGAAGATGAGAGGAGGCTGATGCCTCTGTATTTTAGGCGGAGGAGGGAGAGGGAAAGGGAGAGGTGGGGTGCTGGGAAAGGGGATAAGGCGTTGAGGTGGTTGGGGCTGGTTTAGCCAGCCAGTCAACCAGCTCTGGCTGGTACTGATGTATGTGTGTGTGTGTGTGTGTGTGTGTGTGTGTGTGTGTTTTTCTTTTTTCACTTGCCTATCTTTTTGTTTAATGCATGACCTACACAGGAAGAAGATGTCAGCTAGGCTGTCTGTCTACCTCGTCGATCATTGGGTTTTCTTTTGTGTTGGTTGATTATATCTCCCCTACCCTCCCACCCACTCATCCTCTCTTTCCCTCTCCTCCGCCCCCCCCCCCCCCCGCGAGGGTCCCCTACTTATACCATCGTTATGTCCGCTTGTGTCGCTTACTGTCATACACCTCTAGCTTGTACTACCTCCTTGGTTTATTTGACGTTTAGATATACTTATGTTCTAACGGCTGCTGGAACGGCGGGCTCGAGCTGAGCTCAGAATATATAGTTATTTTTCTTTTTGTTTTGTTTGGTTTTGTTTTGGTTTACTGGTTGGATAATAGGCAAGACAGACAGGAAGGGAGATGCTGGCATTGACTCTCGGGCAGAGTGGCGGCTTGCGAGTCTATTTTGGATCTTGTATCACTTTTGAGGATTTATAACTGATAGATGATACCACATATCACAATGCTGCTATGGTTTGACTTCGGGATAGATACATTTCGACTGAGTCGATTGTCTCCTCTCCTAGTGTTGCAGTAGGTCTGCATAACACACAAACACACATCAAGACATAAACAAAAACTTTAATCTGCCACAACCCATCTAATTCAACACTCCGGATGCATACAATTAAACTCGAATCTCCCTATCCAAGATACACATAAAATCAACGAACATTGCATCTGCAAACGGATATCATCAATCCCCTATGCCAAATGCCAACTAGCCCGGCCAACCTCCTACCCAAGAAACAGACAAACGCATAATAATCATCTCCCCTCTCTTCCCCTCCCCCCACTTCCCCTCCCCTCCCCCCCCCCCCCAAAAAAAAAAGATACAAGGAGATATGCCAGAAAAAAAAAAAAGTCTAATAATCCACTAACCTCAATTTCCTTCCCACATCCCTTCTCCTAGCCTGCGCCGCCGCACTTCTGTCCCACTCCTCCTGCTGTTGGTGATGATGATGATGATGATGCTTTTCATCACGCCCCCTGAGTGCGTGCATCAGCATACCGGAGTCGAAGAACCCGTCTGCAACAAAAGACACTTTAGTTTAGTTCCCGCTCGAGACGGGTTAGTAGTTGAAGGAAAAGGGCAAGACTTACACCCCCCCAATTCGTCATCCTCACTAAACACCAAACTCTCCTCCGTCGGGCTCGCACACCCGCCACTCTTATCTAGCGATCCTGTCGACGGCAGCCCGGTGATCAACCTCCCCCGTTGGAACTTCGCCCTGCTATTACTACCGGCGTGATTCCCGCCAACCGCACCGCCAGGTGCGCTCGTCACCACGCCGCCATTCACCCCGTTCTTCCCATTGATAGTCAAGCCGTTCAAGCGCGCCTCGATCTCCCTGACCCGACTCACCCCGCCCCTCGGCTTCCCCAGTTGCCCCCCCTGCAGCGCACTCACCACCCTCAACATCCTCCTCACCTCGAGCAAATATGACTCGATCGTCTCCACGAACCTTTTCGTCTGCCGATGCCGCGACGAGACGCAGATACTTATCCCCTCGTCCTTGATGATATACCCAATGCCAAAGCCGTCTCCCGACACCGGGCCGAAGCCGAACTGTCTGAGCGAGGGGTTACCGCAGTTGGAGGTGGAGAGGACGGTGGCGTTGAGTTTGTCCCAGCCGGGGTCGGCGAAGATGGCGGGCATGGGGCGGTATTCTCTACGGTTAGAACGGGAGGAGATGGAAGAGGTGATGGAGTCGTTGCGGGGGCGGTTCGTGCTCGAGGACAGCGTCGGCGAGGTCAGCCCGCCGTTTCTCTGCCGGGAGGAGGAGGTGGCGGTGGTGGTGGTGGAGGAGGAGGTATATTCCCCGTCGAGGAGGTACGACGGCTCATCGCCGTGGGCACCAGGACTTCCGACGATCGAGTCCCCGCCCTCCGACATCCCGTCCCGCGGGCTCGAATGCCCGCCGACGCTGCTCAGCCCCTCCTCCGCCGCAGCCTCTTCCTCTGCCAGGCGCTGCCACAAACAGAAGAGGGCATACAGATGCCTATCACACCCCTGCGCCTTGGCGCACTCACGCGTGGTAGCCACATGCCGTGCGCACGCCCTGCGGAGGGCCTCGATCTTCACTTCGGCGGGGTGCTCGCCCCAGAAGGTCTGGACGAATTGGACCGACTCCTCAGAGACCGTGCGGATAGCCTCGGTGCGTCCGTGGAGGTACATCTTCGTCATGGCCGGCTCATACGTACACTCCACGCGACCATACAGACCGTAGTACGCCGCCTGGAAGGCCATCTGCACGAATGCGTCGGGAGAGAAGCCCATGGAGGTAATAAAGTTTTTGCCGTAGGCACTGAAATCGAGACACTGGAACTCGTGCTGCTCGATGAGATCGGCGAGGCGGGTCTCCGCAAACCGGACCGCGACGCGCAGCTCGGGGATGAGATCCCACTCCAGCTTGTGCGGGATGGTCTTGACGTCGCCGAAACTCTCAGGATCACGCTTCGACGGGTCGGGGGAGGTAGACGCCCAGAGGGTCGGGGCCTTGCCGTTAATGGTCCGCGCGAAGCGCAGGATGGTGTCGGTGTAGACGTCGGAGGCGAAACGCAAGACGGTGTGGCCGTCGACGCCGGTATGCTCGAAGTTGATGCCCGCACTACCGTTCTTGCAGACGATGATCTGCAGCTTGTCGTACCAGCGGTTGGTGCACGTGCCGATCTGCACGCCCTTCTCAATCTGACTGGTGCCGCAGAGCATGTTCTGGCACAGCTCAGCGGCGGTGGCGGGCTCGGTGTAGTCGAGGCAGACGACAAAGAGGGCGGTGTCGACGATGCTGAGGCAGTCGGCGTTGTTGGAGCCGGGTTCGCGAGTCAGCACCTCGCGCAGGCCAGACCAGACCTTGCGGTTCTCGGTGCTGAGCACGCCAAGGGCGCTCTTGGCGGCCTCCTGGATGGGGATCTGGGAGGCATCGTCGATGATGGTCTGCAGGTTGATGGCGATGTCCTTCTCGGTCATGATGAGGTCCGAGTTGTCGTCGAGCACGTCGAACCAGTAGAACTGGCCGTGGCACATGACGACGATGTGCTTGGACTCCGGGTCCTGCTCGATCTGGCAGCCCTGATCGGTAGGCACGCGGGCCGTGCCGAACAGGCGTGAGTACTGGTGCATGCACAAAGGCGTGCCCTTGACCGTATCGGGCGGCAGTTCCTCCTTGCGGACGGCGCGCACGAACTCGAGGGCCGACACGATGAGCGAGGCAGCGCGAGTGACCTGGTTGTTACGGGCCGGCGTCGGGTCATCCTCCAAAAGGAAAAAGGGGTTGAGGTTGAGGACAACGGGGTTGTCGAAGTTGAGGTACGAATCGTACCCTGAAGGGGTCAGCACGCACATTCGGGAGCAACGCGCGGGACAGAGCAACTTACAGAACTGCTCAATGTAGCTCGTCTTCCCCTCAGCGTACTTTTTGAGCCTCTCATTCAGCTCAGGCCCTTCATTCCTCAGAAACTCCTGAACAGCGCGCTTGGTATCGGCATGTTCCCTAGGACTCTGCAGGGGCTTGAGGGCAGCCAAATAGCGCTGGCATGTCTGCTCAAGATCGGGGATGGGCAGCTTGGGCAGCTTGTCCTGATAGGCGTAGGTCACGCCGCCCTTAGCGGACTTTTGCTCGGGCTCGGGCTGCGGCGTGGACGCCATGCTGATGCCGTTTTTGCGAGCGTCCCGGCTCGGAGCGATGGCGGTGGTGGTAGTCTTGGCGGTAGTCTTTGTGGTGAGAGTCTTGACAGGAGTAGAAATGGTAGAAGGACACTCGGGCAGCGAGCGCGGCACTGAGTCAGCAGCAGCAGCAGCAGCCGACTGCGACGATACCGGCGATACAGCAGCACTGGCCAGGGTCTCACCAAGAGGCCTTGGGGCGGCGAAGGTACGGACTTTGGTAGGCATTCTCGTCAGCCGAGGGTCTCGAAGACTCTCTCAGGCGTAGAGGGGTGAGACGTGGGTGCTGATATTGAGACCGCGCAGGGCTGTGCGGTAGAAGTAATGGCAGTCGAAGAAGCAGTAAGGAGGCATTCGATGAAGAGTGAGAAAGGGAAGAGAAGAAAAGGGATAGAAAGATAGAAAAGGGCCGGGGGTTATGAGGACGGCAGCAAGACTAGGGAAGTGGATAAGAGACGATAAGAAAGAGAGAGAGAGAAAGAGAGAGAGAGAAGAAAGAAGAGGGTGGGTTCTGGGCAGATGGAGATGGTATCCTCGGTGATGAGATGATGAGATGGGACTCCAGGATGATACTGTTATAACAAGCCGGCGGATACGGGGAGACTGGAAAGGGTGTGTAAGGTCAAGGTCATGGATTCATCATTTCTGGAGAGTGTGGAACCCCGCGCCGTCGGCCTGATCGTCGTCACTTGCAAGTAGCAAGTATCATTCCCTGTCATACACATGCCGGAGCGGCGCACGCGGTCGGCGACGACAGCCATTGGAAGCGGGAAGCGAACCTAATCCAAAGTACATACAAGATGTGCCCTTGGAGAAGGGAGGGAAGGGTTTGTTGGCTTGGGAGAGGGGGGAGGAGGGTACCATGAACTGTTCCATCATCCATGGGGCCGGGGCTGGGGCTGGGGCTGGGTGCCTACTGTCTATCACCGCAGTAGGTTGATCCTGTGCATGTGGCCCCTTGGGAGGACTGCGTCACTCTGCGATGCCGAGAGAGACGGATTAGGAGGAGCAGGGCTATGATTGGGGAAGACTCGGAGAGGCTGAAGCATGTGGACGCTCCCAGGCTCCAGGGCCAGGGCGCGGGCCAAGAACAAGCGGGGGAGGGGAAGACGGGAAGCGATATGTGTTGAAGAGTGTAATGTGTGATAATGTGTGAGAGGGGGTGGGGTGTATGGATTGGGTAAATTGATCGTCAACTGTCACAGTGACACGGGATGACGATGACACACAATGTGGCCGCGATAGCTGAAATAGAAAAAAAAAAAAAAGGAATGGATGGATTCAGCTTTGATTCCATTCCAGGTTGGATCCAGGTTGGATCGGGGTTGGTCGAGCAGACGAGCAGTCGCTCCGCAGGCCCGAACCAGCATCACGGTTGGCTTTCACGTTTACACACACCATCTTGGTGTGCTGGTGTGTTGGTTTGGCGTGTTGGTTTGGTGTGTTGGTGTTGCTCATTAACTTCCCCAATGATAAGGGCCGCAGCGCCCACGTCTCGTCTCGCCGTTGGCTTAGAAACAGAAAGTCGCAGCTAAAGAAAGTACAACGTACCTGGACGGTCAGACGCAGATGCGGATGCGGATGCGATCGGATGCGATGGATCCAGCGAAACCCTTCGACTGCTGAGAGCGGTAACTTGTCCGAGCGGACCGGCGGCCACGAGAGATGCGCAGAGAGGTACAACGTGCGCGGAGCTAGCGCAGAGAACCTAGATCTGGCGGCGGCGGTGGCGGCGAGATAGAGGTCAGGTAGGTAAGGTACGTCGGAATATTCTGTGTGCGGGTGAAGCGCGAGGAGAGTAGCAGGGAGGTAGAACAAAGTCGAATGACGAAGTGTCTAGAGTGTTTGGAGTGTCATTGAATCTGAGAGGACGTAGTTATCTGGAGTCCCCGAGGAGTACGGAGTAACCTTTGAGCAGACCTATGGAGACACACAGAGATTGGAGATGATCTCCGAGCTGGATGGTCGCCGTTCCCGTGGCCTGGATCTAGGCAGGTTGTAATAGTTTGGATAGTCTGGATGAATGAATCGTGGATAGGATAACTGGGTTAGATGGATGACAGCCTACCCTTGGATCCCTTGCCTCTCTCGCCGTCGTACTGTCAGCCATGCTCGCTCAACGCTTGCTCACTACCTCGCCATCCATCCTTTCCTCGTCATCTCATTGCTCATGGCTTATTCCTACGTCTCTCTCTCTCTCTCTCTCTCTCTCTCTCTCTCTCTCTCTCTCTCTCTCTCTCTCTCTCTCTCTCTCTCTCTCTCTCTCTCTCTCTCTCTCTCTCTCTCTCTCTCTCTCTCTCTCTCTCTCTCTCTCTCTCTCTCTCTCTCTCTCTCCAGGGTCTGAGTCACCTGGCTGACTGCCTGTGCCTGGCAGCGAGTGATGCCAAGTAAAAGAACAGAGACTAATTGGAGTTGACGGCCTACCTGAAGTGTCTAAGAAGCGATGCACCTCCCGGTCGCAGCGAAGGCCGTCGAATGTGCAGCGCAGCGCCGAACGACGTTTGACAAGCGGCGCACCCCCCCTCTTCCCCACTGCGGTCCACGACCGGACAGGGCAAGGGCACACTGGCAGCAGAGACAGCTGCTGCTCGGATGTTCCAGCGTGGTGCAATGGGTTGCTCGGTACTAGGTATCGGCGAGGTACCGTAGCACTCACTGTGCGGCCCAGCGACTGGGACTTCGATCTGGGGGTCACGATCCGTCTTGGTCGGGGTCCTCACTGGATTCTGAAGAAGCGATAGGTTCGATCGCAGCAACTTCAGCACTGCTTGGGCCTGTTTATGGCATTCGGCCGGTTCTATCCGCACGGCTCTTCTGCGTGGCTCGGGCAAGAGGATGCAATATGGTTGGGCAGCGCAGTTGGACCGACTTGGACGAGTTGGAGAAACCAGGCGAATCTCCAGCCCAAGGTGCCCGCATTGAAACGAAAACCCTGAATCGAGGGATGGGGGCACACGCCAAGTGGGCGCATCTGGGGTCGCCGGGGCCTTTCAGTTCCTGTTTTGGCAGGTGGGGGTTTTTTTTGGGGTCGATGACGAGTTGGAGACGGACGAAAAAAGAATAAAAAAGAAAAGAAAAAAAAGAACAAAAAAAAAAGAAAGAGACCTTTGAAGCATTTTGTGTATGTATTAATGAGTTAATTATCGATGGGATGAATTATGAATAGGTTCTATGCAGAATACAGTCGAGTATAGTATCTTGTTTATGGTTACTCAGTGAATTTCTAGTTTACCCGATCATCTCAAGAGAAAGCCATCCATCAGTGTTCTTTGAAAGCCGTCGACAGTAACAGCTCACTGTAGACTCCTCCTCCAACGCACCTACTGACAGCCACCTACAGCTCCCACGCTCACCCTCCAACATGCCGACGCGGCGACTCCACGGAAGCATGTGAAAGCCGACAAGCAGGGACACGGGACATGCACAGAACGGGTGCTCAGCCGCCACTGCAGAGTGCAGACGAGCCCTCGCGCGGGACGGCAGACAGTACCCAGGACAGTGTTTTCTATTATTGGATTTACTGTGTACGATGGTATGAGAGGTAGCAAGGTACCCCATGATGGGATCATGGACGGGATGGACTGGTACCGAGAACGGCAGCGCCGGCCAAGCATGAGTTTCACCCGGCTCAACGGATACGCGGGGCGTTTGCTCTGGGTCCTTAGATCGAGCATCAAGACTCAATGGCCAGGCACGATGAGCACGTGCTGCCATGCAACAGGATCTCAAGACGGCATAGGGCTTGTCAGGACATATATGCACGATGAGGCCATCGAATCTCCTTGCCTTACAGATGGGAGGAATTTCGGATTCGTTTTCTTTTTTTTCTTAATAATTTTTTTTTTTTTTTACTAACACAAGTGGCTGGTTGACTTCCACCCCATTCCAAGACCACAAGACCATCCCCATAAGACTCCAGGAAGACCATCAACCTAACAACTACATCCTCCCAACTTCCCACGTTCATCGTTGACCTCGGAGCACTCGGTTTACGCATCCAGCGACTTCGGACCAAAGGACAGGGCACGAAGAAGCGGCGGCGCCAGCGGCAAGCGCAGCTCTGGGACTGCCCGATCGTCCTTTGTTTCCACAACAAAAACGGTCGGTACTTCGTTCTTCCTCGCTCGCTGTTTGTTCGCTCTTTTGGCTGCTCGCTCGCGCCACCCCGACATGCGTTCCTGGGTTGGGCAGTGGACTGGTGGATTGGGCGGGGTTTCTCTCCACGAGCGTCTCCATCCCACGGGCACTTACGTTGTGATGAGGTGGAGCGTGGGGTTGAAGAAAAAGCCAAGAAAACCCCACAAAGCCACCGACGCCAGCAGCCGCAGGCATTGGATGGTCCATGGATGGAGGCTCAGTGAGCACAGAGCACAGAGCACAGCACAGCCAACTGACGATCAAAACCTTGAAGGTTCCAGGCCAGGCTTAGCCCAGCCAACAGCACCGCAAAAACCTGGGGAAGATCATCGCCGTGCTGCTCCATGCCGGCTCCAGCGAACTACATAGGTACCCGTCTTTCCCTCCGCTGGTTCGCTGCGCTCTGCAACCTGCTAGCCCAACCAGGGCCAGGCTTAAACCCAATCCCACGGTTCATAAACGGCAGCCACCGGCACCGGCCATCCCTGCGCGCGGGCAAGCGGCCCGCGGGTTATCGCAACGCTGTCCAGTAACCATTGACAGTTTTTCTCCCGGTTCATGTTCCTCCGACTCCGGATGGATTGCGGGCGCTAGAGTAGGTTTGTAGGTAAGTGCTACCATGAGGCTCTGCGAGCCGCGGTCCAGCTACTGCAATTTGATATGTAACCTTGTAGGGGCCAATGTGGTCTGACCCAAATCTACCGTGTAAGTGTAAGCAGCCTCGTTTCGCGGCTGGGACATGCCAATCTGGCACCATGCTGCAGCGAGGCGTGGCATCCTGAGCTCGGAGTTTACGTTTTCTTGGTGATGTGAAAGCTGTCAGTATTTCGTGCATGGGTTGGTTGGCTGGCTGACATGATCCGGGACCTGAGTGTTGCTTTCATCTTTCATCCCATGTCTAGAAGGGCTTTTTTTTTTTTCCTCTAATTATCCTTCCATCCCGTGTGCAAGATGATATATCAAAGCTTAGGGATGGTTAGGGATGTGTGTGTGTAGCCCCCAGCTGCACGTGCTTTCTGTCCAACGCATTCATCATTCCTCCAGGCTTTTCCAAGCGCAATTGGGGAATTTTTTTTTGACCAATTGACGACAATTTATGACGCTGGCAGCAGTCTGATGTAAGATGCTGTCGGCACTCGACAAGCCATAAGAAGGTTTGTGGCGCGCAGAGGCGCCACTGTGTGTCGAAAAGACTGGGGCGCAAAGACCCATGCGCAAACGAACGTTGGGTGCGCTAAACCCGATCTGGTTGCTATCTTGCATCAGATAAGAGCCCCAACCCTCCCACAAAATCGTCAGACATCACCAAACCCGCTTATGTCATCACCATTCAGACGCCAAAGCGCTATCAACGTCGAGCCATGGCTGTTAAGAGAGCAACCATCGAGCCGTGCGCCATCGCGTGCGGGTGTTTGAGCCATTAACAGACCGCAATGACATCGCGTTAAGGCTTCCTTGGCGAGCCACGGTCGAGCCATGTGTTGGGCCATCAAGGTAGCCCGATCGCTCACCGTACCTTTTTTTTTTTTTTCTCACCATTAGCTTTCACCACTTTCGACCATATCATTCTCTTTTTTTTTTTTTTTGTGAAAGAAACCTTATAGAAGAAAAAACGCCAAAATGCTCCGATCATGGTATGACAAGGATGAAGAAAAACCCGAGTTCTGGCTCGAGTTTCAGGTCATCCATGACGGCCTCGAGACAGAACCGTCGCCACCCTCATCCTCTTCCTCGTCGACAACCATCTCCTCCTCCTCCGAATCCCAAGGCCAAACCTTCCACCTTTTCCCCCTCCTCCCCCCCGAACTCCGCCTTAAAATTTGGGAATGCCTCATCCAGCCGCGAATCGTCGCTGCCGCCTGCTTCGACTCTCGCTTCGAGGCCCAGCGCCGCGTACAACTCACCTGCCGCCCGCGCCGCCCGGCCGTCCCGGTGCTACTCCACGTCTGCCGCGAGTCGCGCGAGCTGGCGCTGAAACACTACCAGCTCGCTTTCGCGTGGCGTTTACCGCCTAGGCTGGCCGGCCTTCCGCCGGTGTCATCTTCCGCTGCGTCTGCTTCTTCTTCTTCCCCGTCGCAGTCGCTGGCATCAACCTCGTCCGAGGACACTGAGGAGCAGACGTCTTTATCATCATCTTCTTCTTCATCTTTATCTTCTTCTTCTTCTTCTTCTTCTTCAGCAAAGCGCCAGCCCCCCTCATCTTCTCCACGCTCCCTCCCCGACCTGATCCCTCCTCCCAATCGCCGGCGCTCCTCGACCTACGCCCGCCCCATCACCCACCCCCCGAAAGTCTACTTCAACTTCTCCCTCGACTGCCTCCTCCTCCTGGGCGAGCTTGAGCCCTACGACCAGTACGGCTTCAACGCGCCCATGTCATACTTTCTTCGCCGCGACGACACGCGCAGAGTCCAAAACGTGGCGTGCGCCTTCCAGGAGCTGCATATGGATCTGTACGAAGCCGATCAAGTTTTTGGGACATTATTTCACATCATTGATATGTTTCCGTGCACGTGGGGGCGGGAGGGGCGGTTGTTGATCACCACGAACACGCCTGGAGCTCCTGCACAGCAGGAGGAGAGCGGGAAAGAGGATGGTGTGGTTTATAGGTCTCCCTACGCAGACGACCCCTACTTCTCGCACATCCACTCGCACAAGTCGGCCAAAGCCTCGCCAGAGTCTGCAGCGGACAGGGGCCCCACGACCGATAATGTTGTGCAGAAGCTGTGGAGCGCGTTCATGGCTGGCGTCAGTGGGGGGAGCGAGAAGAATTCGATGGTGAATACACAGATTGTTATGGTGAGGGAAGAGGAGCTGCCGAGGTTTTTGAGGGGGCAATCGGCGGCGGTACGCCCAAAACCGGGGAAGGTGATGGAAGTTATGGAAGAGGAAGGGGAGAAAGGGTCGTCTTTATGATAACCAGGGAGTCGTTCGACGGTTGAAGACTACTCGGAAAATCCATTGCCCTGGAGTTATGGAGGTCATCCCCTGGTTTTTTTTTTTTTTTTGTGTGTTGTTTTCTTTGCCTTTTTTTTTTGAAGGGAGGGAGGGAGGTTTGCGAGGTTTGGTCATCTCCTGAGTGGCCGGCTCGAAGGCAGGCTACCCGATCAGGTCTCTGGTGCACTTCTTAGTTACGCATGCCACTCATCCATTTTCACAAAGAGATGAAGACTGTGGGGCCTCACTTTTAGGACCCGTTAGGACATGATTTACGACCAGGATGTTCCAAACGAGATACCTTTTTTTTATGTGTGTGTTTCAAGCACTCAAAGCAACAGGGATTTAGCATATACAGGGGAGGCGTTCTGCTTCAAAATGTTTCCAATTCCATTTCAAGCAGTCACTATGGATTTAATACCATTCAAAACATGAAAGCCATAATAATGAATAAATGATACAAAGGAAAGGAGAGGACTGGTATCGATGATGTCATATTCGAGTACAGGAGGAATCAAGAGGAATCATAGAGCAAAGGGATACGAAACAGAATACGAAGGGACATCAACACTCAACATTTCAACCCATATTCATCATCTTACCAGAGAGAAAGGGGGAGAGAGAGAGAGAGAGAGAGAGAGAGAGAGAGAGAGAGAGAGAGAGAGAGAGAGACGATGACAGAGACGTCATGATAGAGAGACCCTAATAGAAACAAGATATCGCGATTACCCCCCCCCCAAACCAACAAAAACCAACAAAATCAACCTGTTTAAGTACAGTTGAGACAAAAAACAACATCAAATATCCCAGTCCAGCATGATATCCGTACATACCCGTCCATCATTGATCCTCCAAGAAAATACACCCACTCAACAAAGACCCCCGCCACCCTCTCCCCATCATCACACCACATCCCCTCCCTCCCCTCCCTCCCGCAGCACAAACAAAACCGAGCGGAGATAAAACTACATATCGGGCCTATTCGCGGCTCGGCCCGCCCGCCGCCCGTCGATCAGGGGCTATCGGCAGTGTAAGAGTGACCAAAAAAGGGAAGGCAAAAAGAGGGACGGGAGACAAGAACGGGAACCGGTTTCCACAACCGAGCGAGTGAGCGAAACAAACGAGCCATTCGTTAAACTTAGCCGACCGTTACGGCAGGGCTGGCTAGATGTTCACAGACCCCGGTCTGAGTTCAGCATGTGTGGTCGGCCGGCTTTCGTGACTCTAGCACCTCTCCCCCCCTCCCCCCCCCCCCCAACATCTTTTCTCCCTTGACCGTTTGTTATCTTAGCCTCCGAACGGGGGCTCAGGAGGGTTCGGTGTCGGTGGCTCGGGCTCGGGCCTGGGGTTAGGTTTTCTGGCCAGCCGATGGGATGAGACAGGTGAGGAATGGAGTGCCATGTTTGCGACGTGGTGGTTGATGAGGGCCCTGCTTGAGTTAGCCGGACACTGCTCCTCCGAGTTGGGACTCGGAAACTCACTTGAGTAGTGTGTATAGAAGACAAGAGGCGAGGTGGGATTGGGTACCAAGCTTTAGCTAGACGGATGTCTAGTCCCCTTGGTCGAAGGAGGTATAGTGTGTCGGAGGACAGGCCCCCCTATATATAACGCGGTCCTAGATCGAGCAACTAGCTAAGTCAACAAAGTAGTGAACGACAAGAACCTGGCCCCTTCAATCAAACCCTCCTTGACATCCGACATGTCTATTTAAACTTTTGACCTGCCCAGGCTGTCCTCACACCCCCACTCATGGTTTTGGAGTGGAGGCCTGGACAGAACACTGGTGGATATCGGGGATGAGCAAGGGAGAGATTGCCTTCGCCCCGGCTTTGAAGCATCTTCCAATGGTGAGACGGGACAAGCATAGGCACTCAGGCACTGTGGAAGGCACTTGCCGACAAGCACTGCACGTGGCATGCATGTCACTTCTTTTCGAAGACCGTCTGATCGTCGGGCGAGACGCAGACACAAACAGACAGGGCAGGGCCAGTAGGTGTATGTGTTGGATCACCCTCGCCCGGCACATACATGGGCGTATGCATAAAACAAGTCCTTGGCCTACCTACACTGGTAGGTAAGCTACTGCGGAGGGGGGGGAGTATATCAAGACGCGGCAGCAGCGCACGGATAAAACAGCCAGAATCTGGTGATTAACGGAACGTCATCGTCCTTGGACAAGATCGGTGAGTCGCTCGATCAACCAGACAAGATGACAAAGACAGGAATTCGAATACCCTGTCTCGGTCAAGGTTGTTCAGCTGACAGCTTGCGGGAAACGTGGCTGCCAGTCCGATGCCTGTGATGCTTTGTTTGTTTTCCAAAGAGGAAGAGGGCGACGACAGCGACATCTTAACACTGCTCTGTTAAGGTCCGGGGCTGCGTCCTTCCACGTCGCCCATGTTTCCATCTCTCCCACCAATCACCAAAATTGTCGATGGGGCTGCTGCATCAAAGCAGCACGCTGCATGTCGAGCAGCCTGCATCTCATGCCGACATTGCCGTGGACGGATGGCTATGCCCATGCCACTGCTGCGGTGCGTCCTGCACTGCACCCGCAGACAAGGGCCTCAAAAGGCTGCTGCTGTGACAACACCCGCCACTGCTGCGCTACTAGGGGACAATCTCGACGTTTTGGACGATGGAGAGGTTGGAAAAAAAAAATCGACGGCTGCTTGCTTGGACGGGGTGGAGATGCTAGCGTTCAAGCATGCTGCGTACCTAGCTGGGGTATCATCACCCAGCCCCTCCCGCCGCCGTTGGAAATGCGCCCCCTAAGACCGTCTATTCATCCATCCATCCATCCATCCATCCATCCATCACCCGGGATCAACTCTGCCGCTATGTCAAGGCCGAGCCACACTTGACACAAGTCCGGATGAGTCTGACGGCAAGGGTCAGGTGGTTAGGCATGGATTTCTCTTATCAAGATCGGCAGCGCTATTGCCATCAGTGTTGACGCATACGTCTCGGAGAAGGAGCTTGGGAGCTTGGACAATAAACGTCGGGCAAGCCGCTGATGGTTCAGAGTTGAGAGTCAGAGTCAGAGAGGCAGCAAATTGGTCGCCTTGTCTGACCTGACGCTTGTCCTTGGGGTCTTTCCTCTGTTCCTCGGGTATTCGTCTAGGATTTAGCACAAAGGTCCTTCCAAGTGGTCCCTTGGGCCCCTTCTCTCGCGCGAACTGTAGACATTGTTAGAAACAAAGCGAACAATAGAGACATTCACAGCGTAGCATCCCAGAGGACCCAGACAAAAAATGGCTGTTTCTCGCGTCATCTGCTGGGAGGGGGCAAACAGCAGCTCCATGCGCTTCGAAGACTTCGGAGGGTTCCATCAGAACTGGAGCTGCCCCTGACCCCCACAAACCCCCCCCCCAAAAAACATGCCCTGGCAGCCCTGTTAAGGTACGTACCTAGGCCAGATGCAGCGTTTCATGGAGCCACGTGTGACCCCTCGAAGGGTATGCGCAAGTCTGGGGTGTGTTCGATGCCGGTGGATGCCAGTGGGTGCCAGCCGACGAGCTGGGAGGAACAGGCAGTCTTGGAGGATTAATGACAGGACTATTGCTGGCTTCAGCATGGAGTGCTTTCCCTCTTTTTCCACCAGCCGCCACCTTGGCGAGTTGGCGAAAGTTTGGTTGCGTGCCTGCCTTCCAGATGCATTAGTGTCTAGAGACTTGTCCTTTCCTTTTAGGACTGGCGATGATGCCATCGGTGTCAGCCGTGACCCCCATGTACATACGCAGCCTGAGGTAGGAACGCTATCCTTATCGCATTCTCTGGTCCGGGGTAGGAACGTGGGCTTGGAACCTGGAACTAGTACTTTGACAGAATTTTGGTTCGGCTCTGAGTCGCTCCCGGTGCTCAGTTCCATGGATCGCTGGTTTCTTGCGTGTCTCCTGCTTCGTGTCCCTCTCAGATTCCCCTCAGATCGTGTCAGATCTCGCTTCCACTGGAACGACTCGAATGGTCAACGAGCTCTCAGCTGTTCACAAAAAAAATTCACTTCGGGGAGGGATGTCGTATTCTTTCCCTGTCAATCTCCCCGTGTCGGTGCCATACCCCTGTTTATCAGTAATTGGTCCCCCGCATCACACATTCTAACGTCCGAGCGCTGTTTCTAGAAAACTTCGTTTTTTGATTGCTCTGAGTCTCAGCTAGATCTTCAGCTGATTCCATTTCTGGAGAAGGAAAAAAAAACATAAACAATCCGCAATCCAAGCTCATCATCGTCGATGTCGGCCCCCACTTCAGAACTTTCCCGCCGCTAGAAAGAAGGACAAGCTGCGAAGTTCTTTCGGTACATTAGACTTTGCTCCGGATCTCTCCTCATCCGGCAGCGGCGTTGGCCCCGGGTTGGCTCCCTGCAGCGTCACGCGCACACTACCTGGCCGTTGACACCACGACGGTTCAGCGCTCCAACCATCCCAAGTCCCATCCAGCTTCTAGGTGCCTTGTTTGGTCAGTCTCGGCAAGCCAAGCAAAAACCTCAGAGATGGGGTCCAAATGGCATATGCAGCATGCTAAAATTGGACACGACATTTGCCATTCTCCCTAATACCGTTGTTTCAAGCATATTAGCGATAGCCTTTATTTACATCTCTACTAGCCCATCTACGGCTTCATCGACGTTCTTAACCCGAGCCGCTCCCCCGCCGCACGAGCCATCCCGGCCACGACGGCGAGCTGGCTACTTCTTTTGGACTGTGGTGCTGACATAAATAGGCAGTCTATCGTCAGATGAAGGCCCCTGCACTGTCTAGTTTCAAGTCGCACAAACTTCGAAACTTTTTTCCGCGTTTGGCGACAACATTCGCGGTCTATTCTCACCACACTGCTAGGCATAAATGCGGTTTGCTGTCACGATGCAAACACGGTGTTAATTCCCCTTTCGTTTCAGAGCTTCAATCTTTTTTTTTTTTTTGGAAATCTGGCCGCGAGGTTAACTGCAAAGACTTAGGGATATCCATTCAACCCCTATTGCTGGAGCAGAGATTTTGGTGAGTCGAACCTTAGTTGATTCTCCCTCGACCGAGAGCTATTCGTAAGGAGTCCAAAATGCCACATAGACGTGAAATCATTTCCTCGACAAAAATGGGACTAGCGAAGACCCACGGGGAAGCGCTTCAAGCTCAATTTCTTTCACTCCAGAGATCGACTGACTAACTCGAGCCATGTTTCAGGTCACTCACTCTCACGAACTAAGCTGTCCTTCAATTTACCGCGATCGACGAATCAAGTGACTCTGTTGATTGTGTTTATTTGTGGATCGAGGAGCGAATGCTTCACGTCCTGCATTTTTGGCGACAGTTAATAAAGGAATCTGTTATACTATCCCAGTCAAATACCTTCATCGTTACATGGCCGTTTAAGAGCAATTCCTGCCTGAGGGCTGAAGCTAAGAATGATGTTGACTCTAGTTGGGGTTGATTTGAAGTTACCAATCCTAAGATATGACATCATTGTCAGAAGAAATGTGTGATAGTGTGTCGCATATCTCAGGCCGTTATCACTTTTGACCATGGCCTATATGCCTTGACAGTGGCCTTTTAAGTCCATAGGTTTATACCGCATTTCTTTGGACTGAGAGTCTAGGATCCTTAGGAGTTCATTCAGAGCAGATAGAGCTCAGATCCATGTTCTTACACCAACCTCGTTTTGGTTACTTTTTGCTTGCCATCAGATTAGCGGAGCTCAAGCAACATTGTCCAGCACGAGATTCTGCGATAGTGTCTATCAGGGAACCGAACTGGCGGGTCTGCGTCCTGGAATAAAGGAGGGCCCGGCAGCTGCAAGTGTTCGGGCATTATCTCTTGGCGATGCAAACATCACCTGGCACATACAGCAGTGTTCCTGCATTTCAATGAGTCGTCCTGATGTTTGCTGCTGGAAAGCCTTTCGGTGGAGAGGCCCTAAATCAAAGGATCGCGAGTCGAGGTTAGGCCGAGATGTCAAGTCTCCAACGTCTCGACACACCAGTGCCGTTCTTGTCAAGATCACCGGTAGTGCCGGAAGCGCAGCCCCGCAATCCACTTGGGGAGCCGATGACATCATGGCCCATGGACCTTGAGGTCGGCATCTTCAGATTCAAGACTCTCTAGGAGAAGAAGCTGATAATCTGTTGACCCATCATCAAACCTCGCAGGCATGCATGGGTGTGCTCTGCCGAGGAATAAACAATCAGTCGTGCTTCAGGCAACTGGCGTCAAAGTCAGGAACAGCTTCTTCGCGAGCGAATCCCATGCCTCCACTGCTCTCAACGTTGCCCCACTGAGATCCCAGCCAAAGGCAACGCCGCGCGCCCCGGGGCTTTGGAGCCCCACTCTTACGTGCAGTTAAAGCCGCAAGCCCGCCAACTGCAGCCAATCATCTGGCCAAAGTGGATCCAAACTGGAAAGTACCCAGGTACCGTGATCCACTTGAGACCGCCAACCCCGCGTCCGCGCCACAGAGGAGGGGAAGGTGAGGAGGTGAGAGGTGCACTGCGAGCTTCAGAAGCACATGCCGAGTCGCCGACAGCCATCTCGATTGCAGCGCTGCCGTCTAGTGGCTGTCAGCGAATTTTGCGTGTGGGCTTTTGCACCCTGCGGGAACCGTCGGGTGATGAGCGCTTTTTTGGTGGAGATCTCGCAGGCGCCGTCGCGCAAGGTCGGCATGGATGGCGCGGGGGAGGACGAGCGGCGAGGTCGCGAGACGACGAGGAGATGTGAATTGACGGGCTGTAAATGGTCGAGAAGAGATGTGAACTGGTAGTTATGATTATGAAATTGTGCATTATTCATATGCAGCTTGCCAGCCACAATATCTTGAAGCTTGTTGTTGCAGCCTAGGGACAGGCCAGTCTTCCTCATAGCCGAAGAAGCCCGCCGTGGCCGGAAAACAAAGAGACGACGGTGAACTAACTGATCCTCTCTTGGTTCATCATTGGCACGTTGCGCCTTGCTAGGCTGTATGTAAGCTGTAGTAAAACTAAGACCAATTGATCAACCCAATTCGCCGAGGTGCCGTCGTCATATAAAGGCAGACCCCCATCCATCTACTCCGACTTCTCCATGACTCTACCACGCAGTCACATTCGCAGTCGCAGTCCACGCTCGTCGATCGTGAGACGACGGTAGCATTAGCACAGCGCCGAAGCAGCCGCATCGAAGCTCACACACCTTAGTAGCACAATCAGCCGCGTATCCTCGTTATCAATTTCTTGATATCATCCATCATCACACACGTCGCAATGGCTCCCATTAAGCCGCATTGGGTGCAGCCCTCGCATCCCGACATCCAGCAGGTCATTGTCACTGGTAATGCTGAGGAGTTTACCACCAAGAGCATCTCCAAGATCGCGCTGCCGCCCTTCGGCCTGTTCGCCCGCCTTGACTTCCCACCATGCACCCCGGCCCCCGTCCCGACCTATGCCACAGTCCAGATTGGACGGGATAAGCATATTGATCTGAACAGTGATCTTCTGTACATCAACCACTCGTGCGAGCCGAGTCTTGTTAGTTGCTTACCCCAAGGGAGGGAAAATATGGGCTTGTCTTTTTTGTTGTTTTTTTTTTTCCCCAAAGGAACCATTGAGCTCAAAAATTGGGGCAAACTGGCTAACATCTGCGACTGCTCTAAATTATTAGATTTTCGACACCTCCAGCATGCTCGTAATCGCCGGCCCAAAGGGCCTTAAACCGGGCGACGAGCTGACGGTGCGTCTGGCCGGGTCCTCTTAAAAAGAAAATCAGCTTTGTTATTCTAACCATATCCTCCTTAATATCAGTTCTTCTACCCCTCTACTGAATGGGAAATGGCCCAGCCCTTCGACTGCCTCTGCGGCGCGCCAACCTGCCGCGGCCGCATCGCCGGCGCCCGCGACATGTCGCTCAAGCAGCTCGAGGGCCTCTGGCTGAACCGGCACATCCGCGATCTGCTCGAGGAGCGCGAGCGTGACAGGGCTCTGAAGGCGGGCAAGCTGTTCGGAAATTACACCCTAAGCAACGGCTACTCCAACGGCAATGGTTACACCAACGGGAACAGCGCCCTTCTGCCAACTTTGGACCTGGACCAGACCGTCCTGGCCTTGCGCGAGGCGCTCGCTCAGGCGGAGAAGGTCGTTGAAGTGGCGAGGTCAGCTATCACTTCGTATGCGGTTTCTTGCCAAGACGATGATAGCACATTCCGGAACGGCAAGAATGGCAAGGCCGACGGCCGTGCTGCGAACGGCAGCGGCAGCAGCAGCAACGGCAATGGGTATGATGCTCCGGCCCCGACGCCCCCCGGCTTGCAGCGGCGCGGCCCGACGTCACGAGAGTTGGCTGGCGAAGAGGGCGGCGATACGAGCTCGCGGGTGAGGGCGTAAGGGTGGGTGGGAGGGGAGGGGAGGGGAGTTTGGGCTTGGGGTGGTAGGTCTTGACCGGATGTTCAGTTGAAAGTTCTACAGGAACAGAGCTGACATTGGTTATGGCCTGCTCCCCCCAAGCCCTTTCATCCCTTTTTCCTTCTTTCCCGGGTCTACCACCACCCGGACGTCTAGCATCCAGATAGATCTTTTTTTTTCTTGGATGGGACTGTCTCTCTCTCTATAAGGGGCAGTTTTTTTTGGGTACATTACCCACGCAGTTAAACTGGCTTATTGTCTTGGTTTACAGCCTGAAAGACTGATCGATATCAGGGAGACAGGAGAGTGTCGTCGTTGAGCTGCTGTTGCTATGCATGTATGTACACGGATCAGGTAGTATCTATGTTCAACACCCCTGTCCCACGCAGTGTAACCAACCCCCCCAAGGACTATTGAAACACTGGTCTTGGTGACTACTACTCTTTCAGAACATACACTGTACAGCTATTTTGTAGTGAAGACATGAGCCATCTAGACATCATCATCAATATCATCCCTTAGCAGTACCAATTTTTGCTTTCCTTCCAAACGCCCTTAACTTAACATCAAACAAATAACAGTCCATGCACGCCTGCCTGCCAACTTCGTATGCTCATCATCATCGTCATACTCGTACACATATCATACAACCAACACCCCTAACACACCTCCCCAACGCACTAAACACAATTCCTTCTCTCACTAACGGACGGAGTATCACCTCCTCCGATTAAACAACCATCTCCCAACACTATTACACCTCACCCTGGCGAAAGCGGGAGCCACAGGACCTCCGCCGGCCGTTCCTCCTCCCTTGATGCCGCCCAATAGCCAATCTGTCAGGCCAACGACCTTGGCACCAACTCCCTTCTCCCACTGCCCTCCCTGCTGCATGTGCTCGATGGTGTGGTGCAGGATGCGGCCTTCGCGGTCGAATTCAAAGATGAAGAGGCCGGTGAACTCTTTGGGGGAGGTTGGTGTATCGGGGCCGGTATATTCATAGTCCGACGAGGAGAGAGATGTTGACGAGGTTGGAGGGTCGGGGTCGGATGAGCTGCTTGACTGAGGATCGGCATTTTGCGATTGTTGCTCAGCGGGTTGGTCTTTCGCCTCAGCATCCGTACTCGGCCTGTTCTCTCTGCTCCCCGAGCTCCCCTTCTTTTGCACAAATCCCGTAACCCCCGCCAGTAACCCACTCAACCCCTTCCCTCCCCCAACAGTCCTCCACTTTACAATCAACTGCTCCGGTCCCACAATCTCGTCCTCCTCCTTATCTGCTAACTTGCCTTCGCCCCCCGCCGCTGCCGACGCTGACATCCCGGGGCTCAGGGTTGCTGGTCTATGCACCATGCGTGCGCTCAGAATCTCTAGACGTACGTTGCCGACGAGGGGGACCCGGTTCCATGCGATTGGGCTCGACCAGAGCGCGGCGATGTAGGCTACGCGGCCGGTTACCGTGGGGAGGTGCGGGTGTGTGGAGGGGAAGAGGTGCAGGGTGATGTGGGGGGAGAGGACTTCTTGCGGGAGGGGGGACTGGAGGAGGGTTGGCAGGCGGTCTTGGAGGATGCGGAGGGCTGATTGTTGAGGGGGGGTGGGAGGGGGGGAGAAGTTAGCTAGCTATGTCTTTGTGAGGGTAGAGAGGATCAAGAAACAAAGCAAAGGAAAGGCTATGTGACGGGGACACATACTCTTCCCAAGCTTGACATTCCTATTCTCCGGCGGCGGCAGGTCCGGTTCCGCCTCTTCCGGTGGAACAGTCTGTAGCCTCGGGTGGTATGTAAACCAAGCCTCAGGGAAGAAATCTCCCCTCCCGGAGGGGGCGGGGACGGCGGCGGTGTTGTTCGCTATGGTCGACGATTGCTTAAACTTTGCGGCGGGCGTTTGCGCGGGGGACTTTCGGACGGAACCGGACGAGATGTAGCGAGCTACACGTTCACGGCGGCGGTCGAGCGTCCATGGAGACGCATAGACGATGCAGGCGGCGGCGGCAGCGGTCGCAGTTGGGCCGGTCCACGCAGAGTCCCTGCGCAGATGCCGGCGCAGGATCCTCGCGGGCGCCGTCATTTAGACTTTAGCCGGGATACTACTGGCTTGCGGCTTGCTTTGTGTTTGATTTTGGCGCCTGGGTAGGTTGCACAGCGATTCCAAGCTGTGCGGTATGGTGCCAGACTGTTTGTGAGCTGGCGAGAGGTGGTGATGCGGCGAACTCCGCAGTGTAAGTGCTGGCTGGTCTAGGAGATGATGTCAGCAATGAGCTTGGATATGGGGTTTGTAGAGACTCCTCGAAGATCTGATAAGCTCGGTACATTTTTTCGATAAGAAGTTGGCCATAGCGTCTTTGATATCGCACTGTGGCCCTGGTGCCAACCTAGAAGCCCGTGTAACGCATCTTGATAGCCCGGGGTCTGGTTTCATCCACGATCCAAGCCAAGATCATGGGACATGGGGCAATCGTGTTTTCAGGCTCTTATCAGAGCTGAGTCTGTATCTACCGGCGTATATGTGCCAGCATGAAGCTGACGACAGACATGAGATGCCGCAGCTTGGAAGATGCCTGTTACCGTTGTGTACCTGTACTTCCTGACCCCTGAGTCCCTGACAACCACCAGACATGTGAACTAGGTTCTCGAGAATCAAATTTGCCAAATGCATGGACTCCATTGTCATGAAGCTTCGGCAATATTAACTTTGACCCAGTGCAAATGTCTCCGTCTTTATGGTTGTCAAGCCCAAGCAGCACCAGGGAGGGTTTTGGTCAGTCGCACAGTGTCTCGTGTGTCCTTGCACCGTCAGCAGTTGCTCCACGCCACAGGCAGTTGTCATCTGTTTTGCTCAGGTGCTTCCTCGGCTGCTGGATGCCTCCATGATATTGCAGAGTGCTGGACTAGGTCCCTTATCAGTGACATGACGTCTCTTCAAAAAGAAGTAGATAAGTAGATTTCTGTAGCTTCAAGTTAATTCTTTGTTTCCTCAGAGCCCTTAAAGACCCTGTAAACTCCAGGGTACTCTGTAGTCAAGCCACACACATACACACACACACCGCCACAGTCAGCATCACGTGAAAACCCCCTATTAGGCTGCAGCAACCAGCAGACCAGCCCCGTCCAGCACACCAGCCAGCTCGACAGCCAACAGCCACCTTATGCTCAGTGCCTGGCAGCAGCCAGTGCGAGTGGCAGACGCCAGAGTGCCCGGTGACACCTCCAACCAAGCCTGAAGCGGGTGTGCTGTGCGCTGTTGACAAGGTGTGCACTGGGTCGCTGGGCCGCTGGGGCAGCGGGTCCACCAATCGCCCAATGGTTCTCCAGGCTGGTGGACGCCCTGACGCCTTGACGCAGCCTTGGAAGTCCGCCGACCGACGACCTGCTTCCCTTCCGCTGTTCTCGCTTCCAGTTCGCTGTCCCAGGTTCCAGCGTTGCTGCCACTGCTCAACACAGGTGTTCGCCTGCTGCCTTCGATTCCACACTTCCCACTGACACTGACTACACCCCCCGTGATCTCCATCTATCAACCATCATCCTCTAGCTCTACATCAACAAATCCTCGTCGCTGCCCGTAGTCTACCGACTCTCCGCCTTTTCCCCGCCTGCAACTACGAGCATTCCCCTCGATCTCGCTGCGCATCGCCAGCCGATTCCAATCCCAAACTCAGAACCAACAACACTGTCACAATGAACCCCGAGTAGTACGATGCGCCCCTTCTTGTCTTTCCCTTCGCGCTGCAGACATTCTGGTGATCTGCGTGTTTGCCGCTTGATTCTGGCTGCTAACAACTATTCAACAGTGTCTCCTACTTCCCACATCCTCCCCCCCCCCCTTTTTTTTTCCAAACGGCCGCTGTCGACCCGACCCCGCTGCAGACAGACAGCCTGCCTCGCCCTCTCTCCGTTCAATCATCACATGCTGACTCCCCCCACAGATACGACTACCTCTTCAAGCTGCTGCTCATCGGTGACTCCGGTGTCGGCAAGTCCTGCCTGCTCCTTCGCTTCGCCGACGACACCTATACCGAATCCTACATCTCCACTATCGGTGTCGACTTCGTACGGCGCTGTCCCTCTTCTCAGACTTGGAATAGCGCATGCTGACCGTCGCCAGAAAATCCGGACCATCGAGCTCGATGGCAAGACGGTGAAGCTCCAGATTGTACGTCCTATTAGCTTTCTTGGTGTGTGAGAAGTGCGGCTTACTAACTGCGATCACAGTGGGACACCGCCGGTCAGGAGCGGTTCCGCACCATCACCTCTTCCTACTACCGCGGCGCCCACGGCATCTGCGTCGTCTACGACGTGACCGACATGGACAGCTTCAACAACGTCAAGCAGTGGCTGCAGGAGATTGATCGGTATGCCACTGAGGGCGTCAATAAGCTGCTGGTCGGCAACAAGAGCGACATGACCGACAAGAAGGTGGTCGAGTACACCGTTGCGAAGGTATGTCCGCTTCAATCTCACCAAACCCTCCCCCCCTCCCTCTCCCCTCTCCCGGCCCGAAACTTGATAAGGCACTAACACCCCCGCAGGAGTTCGCCGATAGCTTGGGTATCCCGTTCCTGGAGACATCGGCCAAGAACGCCAGCAACGTTGAGCAGGCCTTCCTGACCATGGCTCGCCAGATCAAGGAGCGCATGGGCAGCACTATGGCCGCCAACAACACGAAAGCGAGCGTCAATGTCGCTCCCGGACACGGCGTGTCCAACAACCAGTCGGGCGGCTGCTGCTAAACGGCCTAAGAGGATGCAGTATTCTCTTACCTATTGGCCGCTTCTTAGCTTTAGCCTGGCCACTGCACTCTCTAGAAAAAGTAGTCCGCCACCTCCCTTGACCAACTTACCAAAAACCTGCCATTGAAATGATTCCATTACCGTCATCGTCGTCATCGTCATCCTCCCCATCGTCAATTGCCAGTCCTGCTACGTACTATTCTAGGGTGTTCACGGGTTGATTTCTTGCATCATGGATAGGGTCTTGATTTGCACACCTCGCTTTTCCTAACCTTTTTGTCTCCTTTTTCCGCGTCTCGTTGTCTTTATGTTCTCTCCTACCTAACTTTTCAGGAGGGCACACTTTCAGGTGATGGTGGTGAATGGTGAAGATGATGTATGGTGATGGAATTGGTAGGGGAAATGGGTAGCGGGGGGGGGGAGGGGTTTGGTATTTTGTGTTGATGGGGTGGTGTGGTTATTGGTTGGTTGGTTGGTTGGTTGGTTGGTTGGTAGTGAATGGTTGAATTGAATGGTGAATTGGTATGGTGCTGGCTTTTGGTTCGGTTTTCGTCGTAACAAACGAAGAAACTGGCCCCCTTAGAAACTCTCTTCTGCAGACTATATTGTGTTGTTCCCCCCTTCCCCCCCCCCCCTCCTTCCTCTCTTCTGCCGGAAGATCGAAGCTACCTACCTATCTTGGCGGTCGGCTGGCACGGGGAATCATTTATGCGGAGAGGGATAAGGGAAGGGGGATGAGTCCTGTGGCAAGAAAGACGGGGAACAGGTAACGTAATGGCGATAATGATGTGTGAAGGAGAGAAGAGGAGACCAGTGGTGTGGTGAGAGAGAGAGAGAGAGAGAGAGAGAGAGAGAGAGAGAGAGTAGAGAGAGAGAGAGAGAGAGAGAGAGAGAGAGAGAGAGAGAGAGAGAGNGAGNGAGAGAGAGAGAGAGAGCTAGGAAATCTATCTGTATGGAGTAGATAGGGCTTTGCTCCGCGCTCGCTACTCTGCTCTATGCAGCATCTTTCCTAGGTAATGAGCTGGGCTTTCACATATCTCTTGTTTTCAATGCTCTGATATGTATTTTTGTGATCATATGCTGCCCCCCTGGTCGATCCAATCCTGCTCACCCGAGTACTCGTCAGGCCCATTGAAGGCATGCTGTAAGCCCACAATGACTCAGGTCTACAATTTATTGCTGGCTAGGCATTCATTGAATCCTGGAGACAAGGTTTCCCTTCCCTTTGTCCTTTGTAGTGCTGTCATGTAATATCCTCATATCCCTTTAGATTATTTTCATGTCGGCATGCAAGCTTTTGTCATGAACAAAACATGTTGATCAATTCAACATCCTCGCTTGAAATTCAGTCATTTACCCTCTTGAAGTCGGCATATCTCTGTAGGAGAGGTTATGGCATTTAACTTTCTGCAATGTGTCTTTCCCAATGACGAGGTTGTTGTCACATAACTTAGACTCAGCAGACATTCAGCTATTTAATGGCATCAAAAGAAAGATGCGACATGTTCGTAGAGAAGTATAGCGCCGTTCGATGTCTAATTGAGAAGATTAAAGTACACATTTTTTTTGTTTTTTTTTTTTCAAACTCTCTTCGTCTCGCCTATTCATCATCTTTATGTCTAAAGCTTGATACTACCATTCCCTCTCATCAACCATGCTCAATACATACATCCAACGTTATGCGTTCTTTCTACTTCATCCATGATAATAATCCATGCACACAGTTCTCATAAATGCCAAGCATAAAAGGCAGGTAGTTTCAATTGAATATGTACGCTGAAGATATCTTATACTAAGCAGCCCCAAGCTCGAGGCTCGAACGGAGCCTGTCAAACAAACAAACACCCCCTTCCCAAACTTATCCCTCTTTCTTCATCGAGGGACGGAAGAGGAGATGTTAACGTAAACATGGCCTGACAAGGCCCAAGAATAAAAAAACATTGCAAATAAACAAAACTAAAGCTCCCGCCTAGCCATCCATCAGACACTTATCGAAACTAGCCTAGCTAGGTCCAGAACGATGTTCCTTTTTTTTTAAAAAAAAAGGAAAAAATCAACCACGATATCGTTCGAACGTGCATCACGCGCATGCATGTACTGGTATGTATCCTGTCTGTTATGTATGGGGCATGAGCGAATGGGTATATATACATCACCAAGCCAAGCTAAACAAACCAAAACCAACGGATGATACGTCTCTTCGTCTAAAACTGCAACCGCAAAAAATTTTTTTGTGTATATGCGAAGGCCATCAAGGTATATATCAACGAAAGATAAGAACAATCATTTTCATAAAATCTATGCTCGTGGCTGCAAACCCCTTGGTCTGATCATGGTCACACTCAAGGCAGCTCAGCCGGCTCCTGCTGATGATGCTGAGGAGGTTGCTGCTGCTGCTGCTGCTGCTGCTGCTGCTGCGGTTGTACTGGGGGCACAGGTTGTGCTTGTTGCGGCGATTGGACTTGCGCTTGCGCCAGATATGGCGTTTGCGGAGGAAGCTGCTGCGTTGGCGACTGCGGTTGAGCAACCTGTGCTTGTGACAGGAAAGGCGTCTGCGGCATCTGCGGCGAGGCAGCCGGGCTCGACCCAGATCCTTGCCCTTGGCTCGACTCCTGACTTGACCTCTCACCCTGCTGCTGCTGACCCTGCTGGCCCGGAACCTCGGGCAACGGCGCCGTCGGCGGGGGAGGAGGCGACGACCTATTCCCGCCTGTGGAGACAGCCCTTACGCTTCCCTTCCTAATAGGTACGGCTACTGTGGCCACACCCACACCAGATGACACCGAACCTGCTTGCGGCCTGCGATAAGGTTGGAACTGCTTGTCACCTCCGGGGCGAAGTGCAGGAGGGACGTTGGAAGGAATGCCCGCACCGCCGTCTTGCGGAGGAGGAGATGGTCTCGATGGTGGTCGAGAGCCGGGACGAGAGCCGGGACGAGAACCATAAGGTCCCGAAGTAGAAGTTGCAGATGCAGCAGCCATTGCGGCGGCAATTGATGCTGCAGTAGAAGACGAGGTCGGGATGTTTGGCAGAGGACCGACAGGAGGGACCGGAGGGCTCGGAGAATGATAATGGCCAGGCTGTTCAGACGGGTTAGCGTTCAAGGCCGACACAGGCGTCACAGCCGGAGCGATATTGTAAGCAGACACCGGAGTTGAAGTCGAAGAGTGACGGTCGATGGGTTCAGGGACGGGGTAATTCGGGGGACCTGGAGGGATCCCGTAGCCAGGGCGCTGGCCGGAAGGAGGCATCGGCATCCAGGAGTCATGCGGATAATTAGGGCCGCCATGGTGGTAATCGGCAGGATGACGAGGACCAGGACCGCCATGATGGTAATCGGCAGGATGACGAGGACCAGGACCGCCAAAGGGTTGCTGTTGTGGGTAGTGAGGTTGCTGGTAGTGCGGCTGCTGATACTGTTGCTGGTGGTGATACTGTTGCTGGTGATGATACTGCTGCTGTGGCGGGTAGTAGCTCGGCTGAGGGTAAGCAGGCTGCTGGTACTGAGGACCCGGACTCGGCGATTGTGGAGGCCTCGGAGACTGGTTCGGATAGCGTGGAGGATACTGAGCCGAGTTCTGATTACGGTAGGCACTAGCTGCTGAGGCTGCACCAGCTACGCCTGCTGCAGCACCTGCAACTGCAGCTGCAGCGGCAGCAGTAGCAGCACCACCACCGCTACTACTACCACCGCCACCACCACCAGCAGCAGCAGTAGAAGGACCGTCGAAACCGGGTGTCTGCGTCGAAGGGGCTTGGGACTGAGATACGGACGGGAACGTCGCAGTCTCGGCAGATTCTTGCTGGAAAGAAAATCGGGCCGGCTGCGAGTGAGTGGGCGACTCCTTCATCGTCATGGCTGGTTGCGAAGTATTGAAGTCAGGAATTTGGTCGGCGTTGGCGTACTTCTGCCGATTCCGGCGCAGGAGAATGGCAGCAATGGCAATCAAGGCAACTACGGCAAGACCGCCGATTACACCGCCCACGATAGCCCCGACGTTCGTGGATGACTTCTCGGTCTCGGGCTCGGCAGAGCTCGTCTCAGCCGGAGCAGCAGTCTCGGTCGTGGTTGCAGAAGCCGTAGAGGAAGACGAAGACTCGGTGGTGGTTGAAGACTCGGAAGTAACGTCAGTCGAAGAGGACTCGGTAGAGGACTCGGTAGAAGACGAGGTCGTTGAAGTCGTCGTAGTGCTACTGCGGGTGGTGGTTGAGGAACGAGTCGATGAAGAAGTCGAAGTGGTTTTAGCACCGCTGACACTAGTCGAAAATGTCCTGTCCTTCTGGCCGCTGTAAGTCATGGAGGCCCTAATAATGGTATCGGCCTGCCTGAAGCTGCAGACATAGTCGATCATTCCCTGGGGGTAGTAGATGGTGTTGCAATAACGGTCAATTATCCCAGAGCTAGACGCGTGTTAGCTAAAAAAAAAAAAATCACAATAAGACATAAGGCCTACCATTTCAGAGTGGCAGGGTCATTGCGGCAGTCTTTGTCGCAATCATCCATGTCGGCCCTGTCGACACAGGCGACCTTGAAGTTGCAGGTGCCGCCACTGCAGCAGCCGACAGCGCCCTCGAGCTTGTCGACAGGGGCAAGGAAAATGCATTGCTCGCCAGAGTCGCAGCCATAGGGAGATCCTATAGGGCCCAAGGTTAGCAGATGAACCTTGCAGCGAGGAAGAATGAGGAAACTAACGTGATGAACCATCAAGATAGCCGCAAGTCTCATCAGGGGCAAACAGGTAGGTCGATGCAAGCTCCTTCTGGCGACGCAACACCTGGCGCGGGCTAGGAGCTGCCGTCGGCTTGGGCGTCCAGCCATGAGCAGCAAAGTACTCCTGGAGCTCATCGGCGGACTGTTGAGTGGGTTGGGGGCCAGGGAAGGCCAGAGCATGGACTGAGATGCCAAACAAGGCAACTCTACAGAGCAAGTGAAGTCCCATAGTCGGTAGGGTTTGGGAGCGCGTTGAGCGTGATTTTGGCAACGGCGACGTTCAGAAGAGAGCGGACGCGGCAAGCACCCCAAGAAGAAGACCGGGATGCTGCCGACAGCAAAGAGAGCGTTGGAAGAGTTGGAAGAGGGAGTAAGTCGTTGTTGGGATAGCGTGGTAGCACGAAGCACAACAGGCAAATGAGCGGATGTGGAAGGTTGACTGGCTGGCGGGCTGGCTGGCTGGCTGGCTGTTTACGCTGTTACGAAGCTGGCTGCGTGTCACCTGTCACCGCACCCCATGTGGTGAAGCTGTTGCTGATCGAATGAGTGAGTGAGTGGTCTCGAAAAAAAGATGTGATCGCCGATCGAGTGTCGACAAGGGGGAAAAAAAAGGAATGACAAGAAGTTGGGCAGTCAGGCAGTTGGCAGTCCCATCGACCTGTCGGGGCGGACAGAGTGAAAATCAATAGATTGGATGGGAAGAAACCAACAAGGCGCAGGCCCCAGAATAAAATTGTTTCTCACGCGGGAAACGGGATCTCTGAGAGGCCGCCGCTTACCCCCGACTGCTTAGAATACCCGATGATCACTGGATGGTTCCTGTGGCGGTTCTCTGGGCGCTGTCGGCAGCTGCGTGACTTTGGCCAACCCTGATCCAGTAGGTCGGACCACGAGTGGTTCACCCTTCTTTCCGCCCTTCCCAAGGGTCTTCTGCGCACTTACGGGGCGTTCCTGGCTTCCACCCACGGCAACCCACAGCGAAAAACCAGTCCTCATTGGGTCTGGCGGCTGTTGGCTGCACTTGGTGGCAGGGGTGTACCGCTGTTGGACAGCCGTGGACAGCTGCAGGCACTGAACCAAATGGCAGGGGCCTGGGCTGAAACTTCTGGGCGTGGCCGGGGATGGGTTGCCAAGCCTGGGCTGAGGGTGGTCTGTTCACGCTGGATCCACTTCTCAACCGTTGCTTTTTCTTTTGTCTCTTGTCAATTTCACGTGCAGCGTGAACTCTGAATGTCAGAATTTTTAAAACTCGTTCAAAACTGCTGAGTCGAAGTCAATGCTCAGTATGGCTATGCTGAGCGCATTTTCCAAAATTGCATTACACACTCAGATGTCTCCATCGGTCACTAAAGAATTGACGAACCATGGTTGATCCGCCAAATGGGTCCATCATCCCTGCACCAGTCCTTAACTTTAACAACCCCCACAATCAAAGTGGGCATCCCTGTAGCGCTAAGTCATCAGGCATTCAAACTCAATTTACGTTGATGGTTCATCGGAAATTTCCACAGCTTCCGGGCCAAATAAGAGGTGTGTAAGCTTATATGTTGGGGCTACACTATAACAGTTGCCCTCATTCAGACAATTTGGTAGACCTGACTTTGTAGGTAGGACTATGGCCAAAAGCAACTTCTGCTAACATTAAGTTACCCTTCTTCGGTTCCTTCATATCTCCTAGCGTCAAAGTTGGCAAGAAGGCAGATAGGTGGAAATCCGGTCCTCCCTAGAGTCTAGTTGGTCGTGGTCGTGGCCGCGTTGTCTGCCTTTGCCCTTTCGGCATCCAGCAACTGTTTGAATTGCGCATTTTCCTTGGCAAATTCGGCTAAAACCTTGCGTTTCCATTCCTCATACGTTGATGGTTCAGCTTCTCCTTCAACTAGCATGCTCTTCCTCAAGCCCTGGAAGAGCGCCTCGAACTCCTCCTTGTCAGAAGGTATGCCTCCTCCGAGGAAGAAGAGGTACCTCTGCCACCGACGTCCGCCGCGAACAATGGCCGCCAGGTCACTTCGGCCCTTCTTCTCGAATATCTCGGCAAAATGCAGCTCATCATCGGAGAGAGTGTTGTTCCCATCGTAAAAGTCTCCCACAGGCCACATCATACAAGGAGCGCTGAAAGCAAGCTCTTTGGCTTCGACTGAAGCGAACTCCCAGTCAATGATCCCTGTGATGTTGAAGTCATCGTCTACTAAAATGTGATCCCCCTTGTCGTCGGAATGCTTGAGGTAAAACTGCCCGGTACGTGAAGCGGAGTGGCTGATTAGCTCCGGGAGGGCCTCTAGACGTCAGAGAAACGAGAGATAGTTGTCCACTGGTAGAGAGGTAACCTCGCGGTTGGCGATCATACGCTGTTGGAGGTGAATGATATCAGAGTATGCTTCTTCAAGAGTCTTGAAAGGACCGAGCGAGTGATTTGGCGTTTCAAAGCAGGGAAGTTGAGCGAAGCACTCCGACCTGAACGCCTCTTTCGGTGTTCCCAGCTGGAGAAGGAACTAGAGAACCTGTCATAGGAATAGGATGTTTCTCAAGCTCGAGAAAAATATCCGCAAGCTGTTCCAGTACTCGATCTTTCTGGCTCAGAGTCGCGCTGTTCCAGTTGAGTGGCTTCCCCAGAAGCTTTTTCCATCAGGATATAGGAGATGCCAACTGGGTTGTTGGAGGATGCCAGTTCAAAAGCGTACACACGCGGGGCGGGAACCTTTGTCTCGGCCAGAAATTGGAGAGTGGTGACTTCGCTTAAGAAGATGTGAGCCTGGACAGAGGATGGTGGGAGCATAGGATTCTCCAGACGAATACGGGCGATCCAGACAACAACATCAGCAAACTCTATATCAACATGGCAGTTCTGCCCCCCTACATTACCTGGACACCACCTTGGCTCGGGAAGCTGGATCTTGACGACCAGAAAAGGCAGGGATGCAGCATTCAATTCCGTTACGGGCCTTGCTTGCTGCTTGTTCCAGAGCTTTCACGTCGAGTCTCTCCATAAGGCGACACAGATGCTTTCTGTTGGCTTTTTGGGAGGCTGTCCAATAGGCCCCTGGAGCTTCATCCTAAATTAATACCCCGTCAATGTCTGCCTGGTGTTATTGCTCATATCCTGTCAATGTGTTGATGGCATTAAATCACATTTGAAGGGCAAGAACGAAGCTCAGACTGAACATGGTCGCCACACATGTGCTGTGTACAGATCACGCAACTCCCCATGTTCCTTTCGGCGGGAGCGCTGCAGTTGGGAACTTCACAAGAACGCAGCACCATTTTTTACTGAGAATGGACTATTGCCATATCTTTGACGGCACAATAAAAGGTGAATTATTTAGCACGGAGCAAGGCAAAAAAGTGTTCACGGGAACCGAGTGATCCCTATGAACTGTGACGAGATGTAGTGGAAAGACGCGGCAGGAAGTGATGTTTTCTTTGTATCTGGTTGCCAAATCCACCATATAGAACACAATTAGTCCAATTCCTTTGCAGCTTGCTGCAACTCTACATACTTGTACTCCGTGGTTCCCAGCTTGGCCTACTAAGCAGTGATTGATGCAAACGAACAATTTACCTTAGTCTAGAATACGTACCTTATCGCACTCTTTCTCACCCAACTTTTAATGGTGTATTCAGCTAGCTTTCCAAGATCGCCTTTGTTTTGGTTTAAGAGTCTGGAAGTCGAAACCCTGGTTCCCATCCAACATCCCAAGCTACATAATGAACAAGTTGCAAGGGGTGGAGCACCTTTCATAACCAATTAATATCCAGAATACGCTGTCATGGCAACAGTACATGAGGACAAAGGCAGGCTTATTCACTATTGGGAACAGAAGGCATGCATGGAGGCTGGTTTAGGCGGCAGCTGGCTTAGAGGATGAAGTCGCAAGGCACCGGGGGCATCAGTAGCACAGACACCAATGGATTGTAGTTGTGTCACTTACCTAGACGGGGTTATGACATATGGGCAATACATACCCATTGGCCGCTGCCTTCCCTGCTAGCACAATGACTCTGAATCATTGGATCGCAGACATATGAAGGTTTAGTCCTTGTGATACAAACATGGGCTCTGTTGGCTTGGTAATTAGTGCCAATTTTGCTCGTTGTGCCGCCCTGCATTTATGATCGAGTCTTATGTGTGGTTGACTATCACTCAAACTTCGAGCCTCCTACAAATGTCGCAAATGAACCTGCTCTATTCCTCTCGCTATGTTTCTATCCTGTGAGTCGTTGATGGTAAACTAGATATAAGAGATATGATAAGGCTTCATTAGTGGTTGTGACATGCATCAGGCTTACCAATTCTGTTGTCTGCAGAAGTGCAGATATCACAATAAGCCAAGCAATGTTCATCGAAGTAGAAGAGCCTTAGAGTTCAAAGACTACCGTAAAAGGGTATAACAGCATTTCCCCTCAAAGCTTTGTGCCGAGCAAGGTTGTGCAGCTCGGTCTTGAACATAGATATCCCCTCGGTTCTTACCCTCAATAAAGTAGACGGATACGACGTATTTTTTTTTTTTTGGCTTTAGCGCGTTTCATACCAAGCACAACTCTTCCGCTTGTCGATATGGTAGCCCAACGGTGCCGCATATCGGGCCGCAACAATTGGGCCTTGACCGGTACCAATCATTGCACTGAACGTAGGCAGCATACATCGGATTCGAGTGAACTGCTGTAGAGGGGCTAACTATAACAACTATAGATGGTAGTTACATGAGAGAGGAAAGCTCAGATTCAGAATCGGAAGTGGTGCTACGCCACCACAATGCCAGACAGCTGGTTGCAGCAACTTTGCCATATCTGGAACGAATTACTGCAGTACCCATGGCTTGATGCATAGGATTTTGATTCATTCTAATAAACTTCGGCTAACCAAAGAACGATAGACCTCTGCCAGACAGAGAACTGCAATAACGAGGTTGTGGCCAGCACGGGTTACTGCAATACCCATATGTAACACATATTGGATTTGAGAGAACTATGGGATAATGGCTAACTATAAGGGCACTAGACACCCAAATGATTCGGGATAGAGATGGAGTCTGCTAAGTCGTTTAAGGTTGTTGGCATGATGACCGTTCAGCGCATGGGAAACTCTCTACAGTAGCTATGCACTTCAGTGTATTCAGTGCTGGGCAAAGCGCAACAGTTAGCTATTGGCCTCTGACAGTTACCTACATTTAAGTTTTTATCAGCGAGAGGAGAGCAAGGAAGACGTAGTCCTCTCTGGCTCCCCGACTCCAGTTGCGGCCTCAAGCCAACTCTTTAGACGAGATTTTTGTGTAGTAGAGTGCTCTGCAATTTTGACCTCTATCACTCTGACCAGCGACCAGTGAAAACAGTATGATCTACATGTCTTCATGTTGCCGTCGTGGGTATTGCTCAGCGAAAGAGTACCCAGTATGAGAACTCCATTCATGCATATCTTATCGATATGCAATTTGCGATACCTTGTCACGGGCATCCGTACGGGTCCTATCGTGGTGAACGCGTTAAACGCGGCAGTGGTTCAGGCCTTCAAGTGCTCTTGCATTTCAGCTGCTTGTTCAAGGCAGCATCGAAACTATCACTCGGAAGCGGTAAATACTTGACCACGATGGTGACGATGCAATTGTATGGATGAATTGCCAATTTTCCTGTCAACACACCAGCCTTCTTCCCATGGCCCATATAACCGATGACTGACCTCCTTCGTGTGCTTCCGCACTTCCCCATTGGCCCCTACGCGCGGCTTCTGCCTGTCCTTGAGCAGCACGGCCTGACAACGAGCGACTTGCTGACCCTCGAGGCCGCTGAGATTGGAAAGCGCACGCATCTGCCGCTGCTCGACATCAAACGCCTATGCGATGCTGTCCTGAGCGCTCTGCACGCTGATCTGGGCGTCGTCTCGACACCGAAAGCCCGGTCTAACACTGCGGGTACCGTTTCCGAGACGACCGTTGATGAGCCCGGGGACGGTGTCGGAAGATGGAAGCAACAGCAGGAGCAGCGAAAACATAAACAACAACTTAAGAACACCTTCGCCAACCTCATCTCCCAATGGCACACCATCAGCACCCTTGACCCGACGCTAGACGCCGCCCTTAGTGGCGGCATCCCCATACGAACCATCACCGAAATCACAGGCGAATCAGGCACCGGCAAGACCCAATTCCTACTCACTCTCCTCCTCTCAGTCCAGCTACCTCCCCCCCATGGACTGGGTCGTCCTGCGATGTACATCAGCACAGAAGCCCCGCTCCCAACGCGGCGCCTGTCCCAGATGCTCTCCACGAACCCCGTCTTCCAACAGCCCCCCCGACACCAACGCCCGTCGTTGGACCGGATACTAAGCACTTCCACGCCGGATTTGGAGAGTCAGGACCACATATTGACATTCCAAGTACCGGTCGAGATTGAGCGGCGCAACGTAGGGCTGCTGGTGCTCGACTCCGTGGCAGCGAACTACCGCGCCGAGTTTGAGCGCGCGGGAGGGAAGCAAGGGTCAAATATGGGCGCGCGCACGGCAGAGCTGGTCAGGTTAGGAATGCTGCTTAGGGAGTTAGCACTGAAGTACGACATGGCAGTTGTCGTGGCGAACCAGGTGGCCGATCGCTTTCCCGGGGAAGTGTTCGTCCCCCCTCCCGTACCATTATCAACGGCCCATCGACCGGCAAAACACCCCCGTCTCCAAAAAGTCGACGACAGTCCTCTTGCTCCGCGAAGCAAACTTCCTGCTCCCGAACCAGACACCCCAGAAACTCCTGCGAACATCCCCCCTCCCTCATCCGTCCCCCTTCCCTCCTCCCAATTGCTCCCTACCACGCCGACGCCCAACCCAGCTGTTAAGAACAGCAGCACCCTCCCCTCCTCCTCCACGAGCGACCTCAAAGATGAACGAGTCCAACGACAACAACAACACCAGCCCGCCGTGCTTCTGCTCGACCACCAACAGCGCTGGTTCACTGGCTGGGGGGACACTCCCTCCTCCCTTTACAGCACTACCGGCCCCTTGTTAAAAACCCCTTCTCTTGGACTGGTGTGGACCACCCAGCTGGGGATGCGGATCGCCCTGTTTCGGAAGCCGAGGCCGGCATATGGGTATCGCACTCCTGCTTCGAGGATAGATGGGAATGCTACGCATGCAGCGGCAGTCGTTGCTCGGGACGGAACAATGGGGATAGGGGATGATTATGAGGCTGTTGTAGAGAAGGAGGAGACGAGGAGGGTTTTGCTAGCGAGTAAGGGAAGTAGTAGTGGTAATAGTGCTTGGAGGAGATGGATGAAGGTCGTTTTTGCGTCGCATGTGGCCGAGTCCGGTCCTGGGGTTGAGGAGGCGCCGGGGGCGGTGGAGTTTGAGGTTTGGATGGGTGGGTTGAGGGCTGTGCAGAAACAGGGGACTGGAAAGAAGTCCTCATGGGGGAAGTGATTGATGAAGGAATGCTGATCTGAGTTGGGCTATGACTTATGTCATGGCTATGGCTGTCTGGGCTGTTTGATAGATGGACATCATCAGCACGGCATACACGGGACAAATAGTCTCGGGTATTTTTTGCATGGTTAATGGGAAGGCGGACTAGTTAACGGTCAAGGTTGGCGTGCAGGCGTGCATGATGGCAACTCGCCGTACAAAAGGTCGGTTGAACGACCTAGATATCATAGCATACTTCCAATGGAGCTTAATACCTCAACGCCCTATCGTTTGCGCACTTCCCCTACCCCACCCCACCCCAAACCAAAGAAGTAAAAAAAAAACCATTCATGTTTCTTCAGTATACTCCGAGTTAGTGTTGAAGAGGTATTCGAACATGGAGTTAGCCCGACGAGGACCGACAAGGCAAGCAACATCGAGGGTTAGTCAGAACTGACCCAAACCATAAGACTGATTCAAGAATGTCTATGCGAACAGCCAAGGCTGAAAATAAACAATAAATAATATGGTATAGCTACGCTCCCTTGTTACTAAAGAATCGTATACGGTTCCTTCCCTCTCCCATGCTAGATAGCAACCTATCATCCATCCCTGACGCATGTTTCCATCCATCTTACTGTATGATCTCACCCAGTAAGGAAATTTCTCATCAGTTTAAGGGGTGCTTAGCCCAAAGTTTGGGATTCCGCCGCCGCCGCTTCCCCCCTTCCCCTTCCCCTTCCCCGCTTTTGTTTTAACCTCCACGCTGATGATCGCCTACGACACACGACAAACCCTACACAGTGGCTGATAACGCCCCTGACAACTATCATCCCAACCTCACCGAACCATCACGTTCCTAAAGGCATCCGAGATCTCGCTCACCGTCGGTGGCGGTCTTTTCTCTGTCTGTGTCGACATGCCCACCACAAGCCTTTCCTCCATCATCTTCAACAAGATTGGCGGCACGCTCTCATCCGTCGCCCTTATCGTCAACCGAATCATCTGACGCTCAGCGTTAGCAACACAAACCGATAACAGGAAGAGGCCAGTCAGAGCTCACCTGAGTAGCATAATTAGGCTCCAACCTCAACAAACACCCATACTTGCCGCCCTCCGTAGTATGCACCACACTAGCACCCACAAAATTCCTCTCATTCGGATCAACCCCCCTCAAGATGCCCCACCTAAACCCTTCCACCACTCTCCGAATAAAATCCTCGTTCAACTCCCTCTTCGCATCCCTCGCCGCGGGTGCCAGTCCGAAAATCTTCTGTGCCTCGCGCGGGGCGCCTCCAATCTGCCTCCATCGCTTAAAGAAATCCTCCGCAGACAGCTCCGCCGGATCCATAAACTTATGAATCGCCAGCGGCAGCATCAAGGTATACCACTGCAGGGAACCCGACAGGTAGCTAATGCGGATAGTCGGGGCCTTCTGGAACACGCGCTTGGCCTCGAAGAGAATGACCTGCTGAGTCTGGCCGCCGTGCGACAGCGTCGGGTCGGGCATACCCTTGATGTCCCAGGTGATGTTGCCCTTTTCGGACTCGTCTAGGTCGAGGGTCGTCGTGAAGCCGGTCATGATGGAGGGCGACTTGGAGGTGAAGTAAAGGATCAGGCAGGCCATGGCGCCGCGATATTCGGAGCGCACGCCGACTTGGAGCTGCAGGTCCTCGAAGAGGATGCCGTCTGTGCGCAGGAGCAGGCGGTTGAAGCCGCGCTCCCAGCCGGGAGAGAGGTGGGCTGAGCTGGCGAGGTTGGGGACCTTGACTGTCTTTTGTTCGGCGGGGCCGACGTTGTTCATGTCGAGGCCGATGAGGTCGTTGACGGCGCCGGTGGGTTGGCCGTTGGCGGCCGATGTGCCGGTGGCCTGGCTGCCGTTGGTGAAGGTCTTCCGGAGACCGCCTTGCTTGGCCATGTTGAGCTCGGCTTGGTCGCGGTTGGCATCCTTACCGCCGACGACCCATGTCCGCTTGTCGCTCGTGTTGGAATGCTTTTGGTGGAGTCTGGAGAGCAAGGCCGACTGACGTTCTGGGAACGGAGGCATCTCGTCGCAGACCGTGCGGAGCAAGTCGTCGGTGGGCATGTTGGCCAGGGTGAGATACTCGCACGCTCGTTGCTGCAGCTCAGCATCCAGCGAGTAACTGTAGATGCTAAAGACTGCCACGAGCTGCTGCTTGATCTCAGGGAACAAGTTGACGAACTTGATGAAGCAAGATAGAATCATGGCCCTAGTGCTCGACGAGCAAGCGCCCAGCTTGCTAGAAAGCGCCAGGTACTGCTCGATCGGGCTGCAGCCCTTCTCTTCGGCAATCAGATGTCCAAACTCACCGAGGATATAGGCACCAATCTTGACGAGCGTCTCGTGGCAATGGTCCTGCTTGCAGTACTGGAGACAGTTCCGTGCCGCATAGACCTGCAGCTCCTCGTTGTTGGTGATGATTTGGATCACACGCTGCCAGACCTCATCGCTGACGTGATCGCCCGCCATGGCGATGAGCCGCAGCGATATGTCGACATACCACTGCACGTCCGTAGCGTACTTCTCCGTCAGGATGGCGATCTTAAGCACCATCTCCTCACGGATGGCGAAGTCAGCGTTTTGCAGGTAGTGCAACAGCTCCGTCACAATAATTGTGGCGTTTGTGTGGTCGCACATGCTGTAGAGGAGATCGAGCGCTTTCCTCCTGACACTGATGTCTCGGTCTTTGAGCGAACCGATGATGACATCCTGGTGCTGCTTGATGGGATCCAGCGTGTCTGCACGGGCAGCCAGATGGGTCATGGCTTCCAGCCCCAGATAGCGGACGTTGGTCTCCCTGGAGTTGATGAAGCGACCCAATCTCTGGGAGATCTGCTTCATGAGGGCGTGCTCGGTGTCGAGGTGGATGATCAGGTTAATCGCCTCGAACAGTACCGCATTCTGGGCGTTGTTTTGCTGGACGTTCTTGTTGGTTTCAAGGGCAAGATCCAGGATTTTTTGGAGAGTCTCGCGGAGCATTTCGCGAATGTGTTTGTCCTCTGGACCCGTGTTAGATCAGACCTTCCAGGATCGAGCGAAAAAAAAAAAAAAAAAAAAAAAAAAAAGAGAGCTTTCGGCTGGCTGTCCATACCTGACGGGGGGAAGTACTGCAGTAATCTCAGGAGCTTCACCTGGATCCAGGGGCAAGGCACTTTGTAGTAGACATAGTCAGGGGTATACTCGCCATCAAGCACGATACGCTTGAGACGGTTGACAGCTTTAGCATATGCGCCCTTATACAGCTCCAGGTTGTCCTGCGCCAAGGTCATGACGAGGGATGTCACGGAGAGGGCCACGCCCATGTCCAGGTCGTCCATGAGGGAGACAATTCGCTCCGCCCAGTCCGGCTGGACTATGGCCGGCTGTTTACGGTACAAGCGTAGGAGCGTCAAAGCAGCCTTCTTCTTGACGAACGACTTGGATGTGCTGATACATGTCAGTGTGAAGCGTGGTTGACGCGACGTGGCTTCAATGGAGCAACATACGGAGAGATCAATAGCCTGTGCACATCCGCGCCCAATGCCTCGCCCATTTCCCTGCCGCCGACATTGGCGATGGCATGCAGCGCCAGACAGTTAAACAACTCATTGTGGTCCAACAAATCTTTCCGTATGCTGTTGACCACAAGGTGCAGAAGCTCATGCTTCTCATGGAGGAATAGCGTCACGGCCAGATAGCCGATCTGCTTTTCGGAGTACTTAGTCGATGAGATAAGATTGACGGCCTCCAGATGGCCGAAACTAACGTCGAAGCCGAGGATGTAGATGTAGAGGAGCTGTCGCACAGAGTGTCAACACTGTCAAACCCCGGGGTCTCGCAGCGCAAGGGCGGGCCTAGAGTAGAAGGCTCACCTTGCAGACGTATTTCTTCTTGTGGTATCCGCTCAAGTTTCCATCTAAGACATGTGTGAGTTTTGCCGCGGCGATCGCGAGATCGATAGTTTAAGCAAAAGCCAAATATACCTTTGAACTTCTGCCTGGAGCGCGTAAATTAGCATCTCGGGGTACAGCGATAATGAAGCATAGAGCGAACGACCACATACCGGATATTTGCCAGCTCCTTATTGATGCGCTTCTCCTCCAGCTCGCGCGCCCGAGCATTCCGCAAATCGGCAATGAACTGGACGAGACCGCGCATGTTATTGCTGCTGCCGCTTGACCGGCCCAAGAAGCCCGAAGACCCCGTGGACGCCATTGCGATGTACCCTGAAGAAAAGGCCTGTTGGCAACTTCAGTGTGTAACTAGATGCGCAACCGAGCCCAATGACGGGCGACCTGGAAGTGGCAGTCTCCTAGGACAATGCAGTTCTCGTCGTCACAGCGCAGCGATCGGTATAGTGTTGGCGCAGCCAGAAATCGTCCAGAGTCGCAATATTTCAGCAAATATTCATTGCGGGATCATGGGTTGTGCAAGATGCGGAGGGGGTCGCGAATCGAGACGGAAGTTGGAGATGGCGGCGCTGCGGACTGCGGCGGGATTGATTAAAGTTGGCAGAAACGGAAGCCAAAAGTTTCGGCGTTGAGGTTGGACAAACAAAGATCGAACTCAGGACTTCACCGGCGAACAACTCGTGCGACGGAGCGCATCTCACTTCAAGTCGCAGTCGTAGGATCGAGATCAAAGTGCATGCGCTGCGGGCAAAGGCCGAGGTAAGTACCTAATTGTAATGAGACGCGTCGGATTGCACGCGGTGTCGTCGATTTCTGGGCGCTCGATCTGCCCTCGACGGCAACGTGGTTCACCGTTCAGGGTGTTCAGGGGGGCTGATCCTATGCTGCTGTAGTGGGACTGCGGTGCACACGCCCGCCGCCAAGAGTGATGGATAACTGCTGCTGATTTGCTGCCTCATCACCGTCCTTACCAAGCCTCCACATGGAGTTCTTTCGCTAAACTGACTGCGGTAGGATGACCCACAAGTATGCTTATCTAAGCAGGCCAAGGCTGATCTTATCGCTATCTTATCATCCTTTTTATCGGACAGAAGCTCTCATTTGATGGGACTGCTCTCATCGCTAGCTTGAGCTCAGTCCCATCATGTTGCCCCGCGGACCCAAGGCGGGAATGCCAACACCTCGACGCAAATTCGCATTTCCAGTCCCAGAATGCGGGTGAATCTGGCCCGGGTTTTCCGGCCGCAGAACTTGCAGGCGCAATTATCACAGATTGGGCGACGCACCTACGCCTTGGAGTCGTCGCGCGGCGCCATCTTCCGCGTCTTCAACTCGCGCACAAAATGGCTCCAGAAAGAGCGAGCCGCGTCCAATCCCGAGCTCAGCCGGCAGACCGACTACCTCAAGGACGAGGTGGCCAGGCGGGTGTGCGAGCGGCTGTTGGTCAGCATCATCCGGCCGTAACTCAAAACTACCTTGAGCATTGAGGAGCGATAAAGAGTTGACACTTGCTGCCCCTCCCTCCAGGACATCAAGCGACACTTCCCCCGCGTGCTCGACCTAGGCGCCAACTCGTGCAATATCGCGCGCGCACTCGTGCGGGAGAACCCCGACCCGGACCCGGCCCATCCCGAATCGCCGCCGCTCGCCGTCAGCTCCAACATCGCGGAGCTTGTCGCCGCCGAAACCTCCTCTGCGCTGCTCCACCGCGACGCCGACCTTCCCTTCAACACGCAAGTTCCATCGCTCAAGATCACGCGCTATGTGCTAGAAGACGAGGAGAGGCTACCCTTTGATCGTGACTCGTTTGATTGCGTCCTGAGCAGTTGCAGTCTGCACTGGATCAACGACCTGCCTGGGGTGCTGTCGCAGATTAACGGGGTGTTGAAGCCTGACTGTCCGTTTATTGGGGCCATGTTAGGCGGTGATACGCTGTTTGAGTTGCGGACGTCGATACAGCTGGCGGAGCAGGAGCGGCGAGGTGGTATCTCGCCACATGTGTCTCCCTTAGCTGACGTTCGAGACGTCGGGGGGCTGCTGCAGAAGGCAGGCTTCCAAATGCTCACTGTGGATGTGGAGGATATTGTAGTGGACTATCCGGACATGTTTGCGCTGATGGAGGACTTGCAAGCCATGGGAGAGGGGAACTGTGTGTTGAACCGGGAGATGGGGCCCATTGGGAGGGATGTGCTGCTGGCAGCGGACGCTATCTACAAGGCCCTGCATGGGAATGAGGATGGAAGCATCCCAGCAACATTCAGGATCATACATATGATCGGTTGGAAGGAGGGTGAAAATCAGCCAAAGCCCCTAAAGCGTGGTAGCGGGCAGGTGAGTCTCAAGGACGTTCTGGAAAAGAATAAATAGACATCCGCAGAGGCAAGGCGCGTATAAAGCAAGGAGAGCAAAGCAACTCACCTCTGTGTAAAATTGGAGATAGCATACTGGGCGTTCTTTTCACACGCGTTACCTCAAAACTAGCTGGGGGAAGATGACCAAAAGGTGTCTTCATTGGGGGGGGAAAAAAAAAAAAAGAAGAAGAAAAATAAAGGTCTATAAACGTCCATAACAATCATTTCAACATGCAACTAATGTCCTCGTGCAATCATACAGCGAGCCAGCAACCAATTATTATATTTATGTTCTCTTATACCCTCCTAAAGTCGGTCATGACACGGCCTATGCACCCAAGACCGGCCACCTCAACTACCTTCTCATGCCAGCTGAGCAGGACGCTCATCGCCGCACCAACTGACTCGGGGTTGGCGCCCGGCCGCGGCGCAAACTGGCTGGGGATACCGGTCGGTTGGGGAGTCACGCGCGTAGGCGTCTTTGGTGCGCTGCCGGAGCCTGCGGAGGCCATGCCCTTGTACCTACAAATGTATTACCGTCAGTCCCCTGGGCCTCAACACTCACGCACTACCCGTAAGAAAGCAGGGGGACAAACATACAGATACTTCATCAAAACATCCAGACACTCACTCCCCCCCGGGCTAGCATAAATGCTCTTGAGCACACCGTTCATCTCACTCGCCTTAATCCCCTGCAGTACCTCGACAACAGTCTGCATGTGGACCTCGCGGGCGAGCTCGTGGCCGGTAGGCGTCGCATACACCGGGTTCTCCAGGGCCAGGCGCAGCGCGCCCTCGGCGTCGCCCCCCCGCAGCAGCTGGCGCACCTGGGTAGCCACTTGTCGGGCCTCGGGCTCCGTCACTTCGCGCACCGTCGGCGGCACGAGAGTTGAGACGGGGAAGTTCACCGACGAGTCCTCCGTCAGCGCGTCGATGTCGATCGTACGCCAGATGTCGGTCAGCGTGGCTTGGGTGTGTTCCCGGATGATGGACATGGTGGTTGCTGTAATTGGGTATCTGGTTCTAGAGGGAAATGTGTTGGAAGAGGGAGGTAGGTTGTAGTTCACAGAGAGGGGTCGGGCCCAGGAGTGCGGTGAGGCAGTGCTAGACGGGCGCTTGGGTCAAGGATAGGATACGGAAGGGGTTGTGTTTCGAGAGAAGCAGATTTCGTACTATTTCCGGCCAGATCCAGTCAAGTTTGAAATGCGTCTGTCTTCGCCGGCCCCTTGTCGTGAGAATGAGTCGTAAAAGAGCGGTCGGACGGTTGTTTTGGCAAAACGACTCGCAAAAGCAATGGCAGGGGACTAGATGCGGTGGGACAGTGAGGTGGGACCTGATCTCGATGGATTGCTGGGGTCGCGATGTTGGCAGCTCCAGGAGCTGTCGCTGACACTGCTTGAGCCCCGCATTGGGCAGTTCAAGAGTTAAGGGTTAGGGTTGAGCCTGTGCGTTGGCCGCGAGACAGAAGCGGGCTTTATAATGGAGTGTTTGGTCACAAACAACTAACGGCTGTAATGGTCAATTTGGTTAAGGAGGCGCTCGATTTTCTCGTCGTCTCTCACCCATTACCATCAGAACCCCCCAGTGGCGCCCAGCACGAACCCTGCGGTGGCCATCCACTCGCACGGGTAGCCTGCGATTGCTGCGCTTGGCCCTAAGCAATGAAGATGACACTTCAGGGAGGCTTCACTCCGCAGAGACATCTTCACCGTCGGGTGGCGCGCTGGATGACGATCACTGGGGGTTTGGGTTAGAGCGGCGAGATGGAGAGGCCAACTCCATTTTTGCTTTTTTTATATCATACATTAAAATGTTCCTCTGAATGAGCTGAGTGTGATACTGCGTTTCTTTTTATTACGGATGGTCCGTTTAAAATGGCAAAAGTGATTGAACGCTTGCAGTCGAACAGGTTGACGGTTTGGGTTGGTGCCAGTGATACACAGGTCTTCCCTCAGCTCGGCAGAGCAAGCTCCAAACGTTCCGCTGCAGACACTTCTACATCAACAAAAATCTTACTATCACTTCACACTCCGCTTAAAATGAGAAATATTGTCCATTCAAAAACTTCGAAAACCTAAAAGCCTAAACCTATGTCACACCGTGCCGTGAGGCAGCAATGTATCCTCCAACTTTTATCTCCTGGTCCAACCAATCTGTCCAAAGGCTTTCCCCCTTTTCAACTTAAGAACCAGTTAGAAGTGGGCAGCCAAAAGAAAGAAAAAAAAGTAGTAAATAATTCTCATGTAAGTGAATGTAAGAGAAGCTAAAAGCTACCATGGCTAGGTAGGTGCTCAATACAACAAGTACATGAAGGACAGTCATGAAATGCACAAAAGTCTCCCAATCACTCATCATCCCCTCCCTTCATCTTTTGTTGTTTTTTTTTTCGACCATCCAGTCCTTGACACTCCGTTTACCCTTCTCCCTATCAACTTTCCCTTCACCATACGCCTCTTCTCCCATCCTCCCCTACGATGTAATTGAAAAAAAAGGTATATCTCCGAATGAAACAACGTAAAACAACAAACGAGATCCCAAAAGCCCGCGCTGCCAACGGAGTAATGCTGGGATATGGATAGCCGGATAACTGGATAGTTGGTTGTGGGTAGGCCCTGCACATGAACTGAAGCAAATATCCAAGAACCAAAACCCATTCCTTTCTCTTACCAATCAACCAACCAATCAACCAACCAACCCACTTCGAACATAACCGGCATGACGAAACGAAGAACCTCCTTTCCCAAGAAATAGCAGCTCTTCCCCAATCCGAATCGAATCCAAAAAGAAAAGGAGAATAAAAGGGGAAAAGAATCCAAAAAAGCATATCCAAACCCTCGCCAACTCTACTCAAATCATCTCACTCTGCTTCAATCCCGTCCTAAACTCCCCTCCTGCTTGCGCCTGTGCCACCTGCTGCTGCACCTTCTCAAATACCTGGTTCTGTACCTGCGTCTGCATCTGCATCTGTACCGGCATAGGTGGTACGCTCTCATACGGAGCTGACACCTGTACCGAGATGGGCACCTCCCGTTCCCTCTGCGCTCCACGGCTCCTGCTCACCGACCTCATCCGTTCCGTCGCGCGTGTGATCCTCGCCCCGATGCTGTTATCTGTACTGCTGCGGCCACGGTTGTGTCCGCGCGAAGGGGGTGCCGGGGGCGGGATGATAGGAACGGTGTTTTCGCGGAGAGGGATCGCGACTGGGATGGGCTGAGGCTGGGATTGTTGTGGTTGTTGTTGTTGTGGTTGTTGTTGTGATTGTTGTTGTGGTTGTGGTTGTGGTTGTGGTTGTGGTGGTGGTTGTTGTTGTTGTTGTTGTTGTTGTTGTTGTTGTTGTTGAGGAGGAGGAGGAGGAGGAGAAGGAGGAGATGGTGGGGAGCTGTTGACCTGTTTGAGCGGGGATGTAGGCCGAGTGCCGGGAGAGTGGGATTGTTGTTGCTCGGACTCGTCTTCCATTACGATCTCGATCAGGCCTGAGCTGCCGCCGTAGACGATGGGCTTGGGAGCGTTAGAGGCGGCGAGATGAGGAAGCGGTGGCGGTGGCGGAGGGGGAGGGGTCGCCAGGTGCTGGAGCTCCTTAAGCACCGGGGGCACAGGAGGAGGTGGGGACGGGGGAGTGATGTTATTGTTGTTGGAGGCATTCTGGTCATGCGACGGCCGTCTGCTGCCGGCAAAACCAGCATTGCTCTGGTCGTGAGATGGCCTGCGGCTTGCCCTTTCGGGCATCACCAAATTCTGTGGGGGAGCAGACATTGACCGGCTGATCTGTGCTGCGAGCCGCTGGTTATTGGATGGCGGGGTGTAGACAGTGGCCGGGAGCAGCATCGGGATGTCCTTGTTATTATCCCGATCAAACTTCTTAGGAGACTGACGGTCACGCTCCGCATATGGGCGGAACGGCGGTGCAGAAGTAGCCTGAGTAAGGGTCTGCCCGATCGAGGGCATCTTGATGTTGTTCCGATGCGCCTCAGCTTCCATGGCAAGACGCATAGCCCGAGGGGTCGCGGGCAGCCCAATCGGAGGACCGTTACGGCTGGCGTACATGCCCCTACCGACATTTGGGTCGACACTCGCGCTGCGTGACGGCAGGTCTTCCTTCTTCGGAGGGACGTATGTCGTGCTCGGGAGTGACATAAGCTCAGGGGCCTGCTGTTGCTGCTGTGGCTGCTGTACCTTATCCTTAGCCTGCGCAGTAAGCTGGTCGGGGTGCACAATTGGAGGAGCAGACGGCCTCCTGGCCAGGGACTTTCTCCTCTCTTCCAGCTCGCGAGCAGCCGCCTCCTTCTTGAGCTGCCGTTCGTCCTTGATGACCTTGAGATCACCTGAGCTATCCGTGACGAGTTGCATCGGCGCAGGCGTCTGGACTTGCGAGCGCATCGTGTTCGTCCCTGCGTGCGAGTTGCTCCTGCGAAGACCTCCCGACTGGGCCGACAAGGGATCGTGACCCGACACCGGCGAAGTAATACCCTCAGCTCCGCGGCCAGTCCTGCTCGTGCTCCTGCTGTGCTTCTGGCGGAACCGCTCTTGCTCCTCAACCGCCCTCCGGTAGTCTTCCTCATCCTCAGAACCATAATAGTGCGGCCCGAGAGAGGAAATGGGTTGAGGAGAGTTTGGCGACTTTTTTCCTGACGGTTCGCGCGACGATGACCTCCCACGCAGGTTCAATGGCGGCGAGATGCGCTGAGCACGGCTGCTTGCACGAGACGAAGCACCTGTGCGGATCTGGCTGGCCGCCCTCACTGCCGAGCCATCGCGATAGCCCGCATTCCTGACCGTGCTTGGCTCTCGGGATATCTCCATCTCGTCGTTGGACACGTCGATCAACTTATCTTGATGGTGATGCAACTGTTCCAGATCCTCCCTCGGCGTTGACAGGTTGATAAGATCCTCCGGCGACATGGGCACAGGAGACTTTGGCGATCGCTTTCCTCCCTTGGGGGTGAAGCCGCGCATAAGCGGTCGACCACGCTCCCTCGACGTATCACGATCACGCGACAAGCTGGGATCTCGACTACCGGCCCGGCCCTTATGCATGCTGCTGGTGCTGCTGGCAGCATCCAGGCTGTGGATGTACTCGTCCAGGCTTCTGCCAGGGTGATGACACCCGCGAGCGCGACTTGCGCCGCTAGATGCTGCCGAGACAGAGCTGGCAACGGAGCCAGGACCTCTGCGCTTCGGCCAGTGGTACCGGTGAGTAGATGACTGTCCAGATGGCTCTGGGGACGTGACATCCTCGCGAGCCACGTCATCGTTGAGCGTCTTCAGCGACAGATCAACTCCTTCGGGAATCCGGCTGCGTGAACCGTTCCTGTCCCTGTTGGGATCCATGGGAGCTGCCATGGCCGATGCGGACGGTGATGGGGCCCGCTTGGGCTCCCTGACCAGCCTCGGACTAGCAGTATTGGGCCTCGTGACCTCAGCGTTTCTGATTGCGTCCTCGGAATGCTGTGCGGATGCATAGGGGTCGCGGGAAGGCGGCATCACCGCGGTCAAGATAACGCGGTCAGGGGATGATTCACCGATCGACGGCAGACGTGGCCGGTTGAAGCCCATCGGCGGCCGTGCAGAGGCTGGAGTGTTGAATGCGCTACGGTTGCCTCGCAAAATGGCTGTTGTCGGCTCGCCGCCTGGTGAGAGAGCAGACTCCAGAATCGGCGTCGTCCCTCCCGCAACTGGGGTCTTGCCATCGTCGGTCATCTGCCCAAAGTACTTCGCCTTTGCGTTCGAATCCCCGAAGGAAGTGATGAGCTTCAACGCCGAACTCTTGCCAACATTCCGCTGAGGTCCATGGTTAATCACCGGCGGAGAGAGCGGAGGGCTGGCAAGCTCGGGGCCCTTGACAATATTGGGGAAGTCAAGCTGCTGGGCCGACGGCGATGTCCATGGCTCGCTTGGCTCCCGGCCGCTATCCGTGCAAGCGAAGCTGTGACTCGAGTTAGTTATCCTCCTCTTGTCCCTTATTTCCCAACCCCACCTCTCCTCCTCTTTTCATGTTATATATATAAAACTTACCATCGAATAGCCAGTTGCTGCTGGCCATGCTGCACCGCCCACTCGCCCCATTTCTTCACAATCTGCGACTGACGCTCCCAGGCTTGCGGGTAGAACAAGCAGGTCACAATGAGAGCCTCCATCCACTTCTTGTGAGATACATAAACCTCGATCGCATCATTGTAGTCGCCCAGGCCGATCAAGATAGTAGTCGCCGAATGGATGTCGCCACTTTCCAGGAGTCTCTGCACATAAGCACGACCCAGCTTCTGCTGGCCAGACGCGCTCCCGATGCCGCTCAGAGCTAAGAGCATCCAGTCAGACGCAGTCATTTTCTCGGAACCCATGGCCATCACATCAGTGCTGATATCGCCGAGCCACTTAGCGAGCAGGATACGGTTCGTGGAACCCAGCGGATGGCGGGACATCTCGTCGCGAACAAGCTCCTCGATGTCCTTGTTCCAACCGAAAATGGTGCTCAGCATCTGCCGACGCAGCTCGTCCGGCGTCAAGCGACCGTTCTCCAGCGCGTAAGGTGCCTTGTAAGGGATATCGGAGAGTCTAGCCCTGGTGAACTTGAACAGGTCCGTCACTTTGGCGTCGTCGGGATTACGGGGCACCTCATGACGCAGTATAGATGGCTTGTGGACTTGATGGCGAAGTGAGCTTCCGACTGAGATTGAGCTTGTTGTCGACATCGGCTCCCTCTCACAGTGGAGCGGGTGCCCGGAATGGAGAGACGAGCCGGCGGAGATGTACGTGTTTTCGGTCAGGCCTCGCGAGGTAACCGATGCCTGATATCTCCGAGCGGCCACTTGGGAAGTAGAGGACGAGATCGATACGCTAGACCGACTGATATGTGAAGCCGGGGTTGTCGGACGGCACATCCCCGCATTGCTAGTGTTCTGCAAGTGGCGTGCCAGGGGTAACCTATTGTCATCTTCTGACTCAGACACATCGGACGGACGAAACGCGATCTGGACGTTAGATTCGCTCTCCGAAGCCGTAGCCTGCGTCTTTTCCTCCGATTCGAGAGAAATAGGCGGCGAAGGCGGCAGCAGCGGCGCAGGATGCTGGACATTGGCGACCATCAAAATGGGGGCACTTAGGTTGAACTGCTGGACGGTGTTGTTGGCGCCCAGGGTGAAGAGGACGGCATCCGGGCCGTAGACGGCGAGGCCCCGAACTACATCAAGAGTCGGGACCACGTCCAAGGTTACGTGCTTGGTCCGCACGTCCCACGAGATTGTCTCACTGTTGGTTTGTTTTTTCCCTCATCTCAGCCATCTACTGTACGGGCAAGATATGCAAGCAGCAGAAACAACTTACCCTTCCGAGTACTGAATGATCCGGCCGTTCTTTGACCAGGCCGCCCAGTTCGGGCCAACCACGTAGTTCTCAGTCCTCTTGAGGATGCGCACAACCTTGGCCGGATCGTCATTTGCTGTACGACTTAGGGACGCTCCACACTCGCAGATCGCCGTCGTTCGTCTGCACTGCTAACATGTCGGATTTGGCCCGAGCGGAAGAGGCATGCCACGAAAGCGTCACAATCGGGGACGGCCCTCTTGAGGTAGTTAGGTTGTGGAGGATGGTAAATCGAGGTTGGAGGGTCGCAATCAAGAGCGAGCCATTCTGGTAGCTGGGAAAGGTCAGCATTCGCAATTCGGGGAAACAAAGTAAGCCACACATACCCGATCGCGAAAGTCCTGCAGTCGGCATGTGGTGATATGGCTGTGACAGGTATCTGATCAAGTGTCCTTGTAGAAAGGTGCTCGGATGTAGTAGGCTCAAAAAGGATCACATTGCCTTGCGTATTGCCTGTTGCCAGTTAGCCGGTATTTTTTTTTCTCAAGACATGTCCATGGAGATCACACATACCAAAAGCAACGTTGCCGTCCCGCATCCACGCCGCACAGGTTATGTGTTCATAACTGACAAAGCGGGCAATCTCGTCTCCTGTGAGCAGGTCCCAGACGATGGCCGTCTGGCCAGCATCATAGCTGACGACTAATCTCCCCGCACCAATGTCGCTGTGATTGTCGACAGCTAACAGTTGGATTTCTTCTGAGTGCCGAGCAAACCGCCGTTCAATCGCTAGGGTATCATGATTACAACATACGACCGAAGTGCCCTGGGCATAAAGAAACATAGAAGCTGTGGCGGCGCATGGCTCGAAGTAACGTCGGATAGGATTATGTCTAGAGGAGGAAGGCGATGCCATGGCGTAGCCGCGCACATGAACGTGCCGTCCTTTGTCGTGGGCTGGAGTGCTTGAACTCGCACGGCTGCGTGAGGTATGAGCAGCTGACATGGTGCTCGGCGGTAAGAAAGATGGTGTATCTGGCCTAGATATATCTCCTTCTTCCTGTTGTGGTTCTCTTCTTTTTCTGGATCACTAACTAGACTCTGATGGTCTTAGAAACACCGTATTAGTGCCGGTTGTTTGCATGAGGAAGAGCGTCCAAAAGCGATTTCATTGCCTGCCTAGCTCGCCAATGCATCCGCCAGCGTTCCCCGTCCACAGAGTCTTCTCTGCCCGTGCAAAAAAGCAATCGACGAAGGACCAGGCCTTGAGGCAAAGGCATATGTGGATAATCTGCAGTCAGATAGAGCGTAGAGAACATACCGAAAGGTAAGCAAGGGTGTGTTTACACCCTCTGTGCACAGCGGCGAAGCAGGACGGGTGGCAAGGCTACACAATCCGACCCCAGACCATAACGTAGATGTCGGTTTCCGCTCACGCGGGTAAGTTCCTCCACTCTCTGTGCCCCTATGAAGTCCGGACCTGCAAGCAATATCGTGACATGTGCCGATGAGAGAGGTGGGGAAGACGAGCTTCAGACGGCCGTCACAGTTCTCGTGCTCGGATACTGTTCATCGACGCTGTCGAGAGGGACACGGTTGTTAGCAGATAGCTAAGGACTCACGATGATGGTAGAGATCGAGTCCAGGAGCGAGATGATGGAGTCTATATGGAGGTCAAGGAGTATGGTATGTGATTTAAGGAAAGACTGAAAGACAAGACAAGGAAAAATGCGAAACGTCAATGAAAAAGATTCATGACGGTTCTGCTTCTGGAGCCAGGAGCCAGGGGACGAAAGCCACAGATGCCGCCGTTGACGCAGAGTGATAGGGGTCCTTCCAGTAACTGAATAGGGGCGGCAAATGACAAGGTGTGCAGGGCCAAATCACTGGCTCGCTCCATACACATCTGCTCACTCCTCAGCTAAGGGGGAGGAGGGGCGTAAGGGTTTTTGGATGTCGTTCGGCGCTTGTTGTGCGGCAAAAGAGCGTATGCGAACACAGCAGCAACACCAGAACCGGGAACAGCAGCGGCAACGGCAGCGGTAGTAGGTTGTATGAATTTGGGCGTGTATGTGCCTTACCTTGGTAGGTAGTAGGTGCAGGACCAAACGTCGCCGGCAGAGAGTGTGTGTGGAAGTCTGTAAGCAAGATTCGGTTCCGCAGAACTGCTGTTCTGATGTTTCTCCTGCTCTGCCCTCCCTTCGTTCCGGCAGGAAGTAACTGAAGAGAGGAGAAGTGCAGGGCCGTTAAGAGGGTGTGCCGGGAAAATAAGACACTGGCTGGGGCCAAACACACCTAGGCGCTCAACTATCGGGGTTGCAAGACAGGTATTCCGTACTTGAGCCCGATGACGCACAAGGTAAAATACCCCAGGTACATGTAACTGAGAAACTGGTAAGCCAGTAAGCCAGCCGCCGAGACTACCCCTCTCTGCTGGAAGATATAAGTAGAAAGGAGCCATATCTTGCCCGGCTTCCCCCTCGGTCAGCCAAACCTTGTTTGGTTGTTCCCCGGTAATCCCCACACACCTTCGCAAGCTCTTCGATTCACTGGACAGCTTGTTTCTTCGCTTCCAAGGAGAAAGCATTGTGCAAAAGCCGGGAGCTGGTGCAGGTCGGTTAGACCCCTCTCTCTTTAGGCCGCGGGGGAGGGCCTGCATGGCAATGCAGATGGCAAGATGCGCCTCCAACCAGGGGCGGCACTAGCGGCGAGCAGGGGGGTTGGAAGTTTAACGAGTAAAAATGCTTCTTACTCTTGGGCTGGAAAGACCCTGGCTCTCAGGAGTCAAAGCAACTTCAACACCAACCTGTCACTGGCGGACCAAGAAACCTGGACTCGGACTGTGCTTTGCAGCGGACCGCTTCGACCGTGCTTGGCCTGCATCCGCCGTACATGGTACACGTCCAATATTTCTGCCATAATTAGGTGCCTGTGAACCCTCTCACGAATTGTTGGATTTGCGAGTTCATGCAAGCGCAATTCAGCATCTTCTGTCATTCCAGTGTTCTTCAGATAATGCGTGCTAAGTTTGTCGGTCCTTCAAAATAGGCCAGTGCATGCTGGGATACCTCTCTCACGGTCTTTCTGCCAGCTTGGATGGAGGGGCTTCAATATAGGACCCAGGCCGTTTCGGGGCTAAGCAGCCAGGGGAAAGGAGATCTGGCGACGGCAAGACGGATCAAGTCACTAACGATGTCAAACTGGGCCTGAACTAGGTCGATGACCGTGAAAATCATAAGAATGGGCTGGTTTGTTGAGTGGCTGTACCGCATGTACACGTGCTATAGTTTAGCTTGTGGCAATGTTCGCTCTTCAGGATATCCAAACAGTGGTTGTTGCTTGGCGCTACATAACTACCAACGTCCAAACAGCAATGCCAATGTTCAAAGGATCATCGTTACAGTTTCTTTGCCAGGTGAAGGTTTGGGAAGCTGTGGTCAATGAAGCCGATCAGGGTCTGTCTCTAGTGCCCAGTGGCAGCAACCCGCAGGTGAAGGGCTGCGAGGGCTTAGCTTGACCGGTGTCCCGCAATCCAGCACCCGTGCCGTTCGTTTATCGGCCGGTGCGAATGTGCAGGTGAAACAAGAGAAAAAAAGTTCAGCAATGTAACTTAACGACGGGAGCACCTGTTGAGCGAAGTGTGGCTTTCCAGGCGACGAAATCACGGGATCTCATGGTGTTTTCTATGGTTGCAACACAAAAGCATGTCTATCAGGTTAAACGTGTTTTCGGCCAGGAAAAAGTCTGGGGAGAATTTCTTGCTCCTGTTCTACAGTTCAACTGTTGTCGAAGGCAGAAGGCGTGCGATTCAATCGAGGTCAGCGGTTAGGCTGTGGGGGGAAGCACGAGAGTGGGTCAGCGGCGGGGGAAGGTGTGGAGAAGCCAAGGGAATTAAGCGCCCTCCCGGGTGATTGGCCGTCAGTCCCCTACTCAACGAACCAATCAAAATGTTTATCACCAAGGTGACAGGGATTCTGTCGCCAATCCCGTCCGCGATCTTTCGATGCCTTCTGCGGTATTATCCATTGTTCTTGGCTTGGGAAGCATCATCTGTCTTTGATCGAGTCCGAGTTTATCTCGAATCTTTCACAAAAAAAAAGGAAAAAAGCGCAGAACAAAGATTTGCGCATACTGAGGCTCCTGCCATGAGCTCTATGGTCGCAACGTGGTCTAACATCCAGAGTTGGCCACAGGTTCGACATCGAGGTGTGGGCTGTCTTGGACGGGAGCTGAAACTCCCGCTTCTGACTAGTTATAACGTCATCGCTGGTTCGACCGAAAACCGTCTCGAAAAAGTTCCAGATTAGGAGAAATTTCAAACTCAGGATGCCCCAGCCTTTACTCAAGCAGTTTACCTACACTAGTTAGGCAAAGGGAAGCAGCTGGCCGGTTAGCCCCGCGCTTGAAAACAATATCTCCTCCTTCAGGGTTCTGCAAAACCCTTACTTCGATGATCCAAACCTCGCTAAGGGAAGACTCGGACTGAAAATGCCTATCAGGATGAAAGACGGGCAATGTGCACAGCACATTGGTTTTGTCATGATGCAGTGAAGCCTGACACATCATATCCGGAGCCGTTCTGCTTGAATACGAGTGGAAGTTATCTGAGGAACCTGCATTGTAGGTGAACTTCGAGAACTCAGATTCTGAAACCCCTCAAACTCTGATGCACATTCCTTTTGCGGATCTGTTGTGGTGCAAGCCCCATACAGTCCTGGCCAGACAACCTGCATGCACTTACTGCTGAGGAGACCTACCTCAGATAACTTGCCACGGATTGCCTCAAACATCCAAGCAGTCCTTCCCGAACCTGTTGGACATACATCAGAGTTTACTGCACGCCCGTATTTGACCATCTCACAGGCTCCCGTGGCCGCTGTCAGTTATTGAGATGCATCACCAAGTTCCCAATAGCGACGAAGACACAACATACAGGGACCTCCGAAGCTATCCGTCGTGGCCCGGTCGTGCCGTTTTCGCTGCTGATTGGTCCTATGGGACGGGATGATGGGTGGAAGCTTATATTCTTCCTTTGATATTTGGCGTTCCTTGCCAACAGCACCACGTGCCTACCTTGGAATGTTGATATCAGTTGTTGTGGAGCTGATCGAGCACTGTTATGCAAGTTTTATACATGATACTGGAGAGGTCTGTTGAAGCCAAACACATCCATTTCTGACAGTGTCTCTCGCCGAATGTGTTTTGAGACTTGTAAACTGCAGACTGCAGAAGCCAACTAAGTTACCGCTTACATTACACGCAGGCAGGCCGCCCTCGCAGCCGATGAAACCCAACACAATTCTAGTGCCTGAATGGTCACCTTAAGCTATCCACAATGACGCCCATCATTTATTTCCACGTCTTATTAAGGCAATTCTCCAGCCAAGAAGCCTCCTGTTGGAGGTTCCGAGACGATACCGAGCTGCGCAGGCGAGGCCCAATCTGTGACCATGCTGCAAGGCCATACTGATGACAAGACGATGACCATGTCTCCATCCTGCTGAGGGATGGATGCCGGTTCCTGACTGCTGGAACGGCTAGCCTCTTGGTGGTCGGGTTTGTGTTTCCTCGAAGCCCATGCACCGAAGGCACAGAGCTCTTTGCCACAGCTTGCCTTGCCTTTTTTTTTTTTTTTACTTCCCCCACTCTCTCCACTATACCTCCCGTACCTGACATGCGGCGATGCAGGAGGGAGCTGTTGTCAGACACAGAATTGAGTGGTTGCAGATGCAGTGTGTCTGGAGTTGCCGCGACCCTGCGGGTTTGTCTGCAAACAACAAACGAAACCAGTGTTACTCCGCAAGTCGCAACACGCTCTGGTGGTGTAATCCGTAGGTGAGTGCTCTTCTCGAAGCTATTTTAGAAAGTGACAGTGTCACCCATGGAGGATCCAAGGGCAGGGAACGCTGTGATGGT